ACTTCTGCTGGTGTTATTGCAGGAAGCTGCAATTTGTTGATGTGTTTTGCACTGCAAAAAGCTGTGCTATTCGGAACGAAGTAAAGAAGGCAGGGTAGGGTATTATTTTGAAGAACACCTTGCATTACAATTATTTGCTTACAGACTGTTTTAAATATGGAGAAACATTCTGATATGTAGTATCTTACATTTCAAATTTGTTTAAACTTCAAGCAATTTTTGTTGCTGGAATGTGTAACTCATTTCTGAGTTACCAACATTGATCCAAGTGTTGGGATGGCTTTTAAAAAAGGAATGTGGAAGTATATAGATGACCAACATGATTTACAAATATCCATCCTCAGTAGATTACAAATTACAGTTGTTTTTAGTCATCTGTAGTGATAACAGATATGATGGAGTTATTTTTCACTATAAATTTTTAAATGATCAAAGCTAAATGAAGACAGAATAGAGCATTTTTAATACAGGAATCAAGTTCCTTGTAGCAAGACAGATCATTATTAGAGAAGTAAATGAGTTAACATAGTTACCTACAATTATTTCCTAATGTTATATGCATGCCAATATATAATGCAAGCGGGCCTAGCCACAGGGACTGCTGGGAAGGCTGCAGGGAAGGCAGGTAAGCATGGCGGAGCTGCAGGCCGTGGAGAAGAGAGTAGGGAAGGCCTTCGCAAGGAACCTGGCCACAGGGACCGTTGGGAAGGCCATGGGTAAGGCAGGCAAGCATGGCAAGGCCACAGGGAAGGGAGTAGGGAAGGCCTTCGCAAGCGGGCCTGGCCACTGGGACCGCCGGGAAGGCTGCGGGGAAGGCAGGCAAGCATGGTGGGGCCCCGGGCCGCAGGGAATAGAGTAGGGAAGGCAGGCAGGATGGGGGGGCAGCTAGCTAGGCTTGCTTACTCGGGCAGACTGCTTACTTGGGCAACAGGTACCACGTGGGAAGGCAGGCAAGCCGCAGAGACTGTGTGGTCAACGCAAGTCAGGAGCCATATTTTACTTAGCTATGCCAGGGGGGCAAGATGGGGAGTGACTGGGGGGGGGGGGGGCGGGGGGGGGGGGGGGGGGGCGGGGCCATAGGTGCTATTTGTCGGTTCTCCAAACTACTCAAAATTTCCGCTACCAGTTCGCCCGAACTGGCTTAATACCACCTCTATTTGTCTCACTCTGGGCGAAAAGTGCACGGTGGAGGTGGATGGAGACAGGCGACCCCGATGTGCTGCATGGCTGCTTGGCTCACAGGCTCGCAAGACAGTTGTGTGGTGGTACTGGCAGCAGGCAGAGGCACGGGGAAGGGGAAGGCAGCCACCCACACTATTCCTCCCACCTTCTGGTTGCCTGCGGCTGCAATGGCTTACAGGGCTTCCCAGGGCAGACACATTTTTCACGCAGACACAGAAATGACAGAGACTCAAAGCTTTGTCTACTTGCAAATGGGACACTTTGAAACAGAGCGATTAGCATCCCATTTGTAAGCAGATGAAGCTTTGTCTCCCTCTGGGGGAGAGTTGCATGGCAGAGCCAGAAGCACGGGGAAGAGACAGGCGATCCCAACGTGCCACCCACTGTTTCCCACTGTCTCTTGGGTTGCCCGCGGCCATGCCAGGCTGGCACCCCCATGGGACATCGGGATCGCCTGCCTCCCCCATGCCTCTGCCTCCGCCTGCTTCCAGTGCCGCTGTGCAAGTCTCCTGCGAGCCTTTTGTGAGCCAGGCAGCTGTGCAGCACGTCCAGATTGCCTGTTTCCCCCCCGCCTCTGCTTCCGTGCTCAGACTAACTGCTCTCTGCCAAGGGGCTAGCAGGCTGCGGCTGCTGCTGGAGACTGTCGGCCCACGCGCACTCGCTGCCTCTTCTGTTGGTCATACCTATCCCTCCCGGCTTATTTTTGGGGTAGGGCTTATATTGGGCCCACCCCAAAAAAATCAGGCTATGGCTTATTTTCAGGTTGGGTCTAATTTTCAGGGAATCGCGGTAGTTACCAATTATTCTACTACTGTTACAATAAGCCATTAATGCATAGTTGTAGTAAAAGAAAAAAGGTACGCTTTCAGAACCAATTCCTTGGTTGCTGAGAGGCAGTTTATCTCCATATTAGGTTGCCACTCACCCTCTTTGCTTAATATTGTTGTTGTTGTTGTTGTTTATATTTATATACCGCCCTCCTCCCAAAGGATTTGGGGCGGTGAACAGCCAACAGGTAAAATACAAAATTTAAAAACAGTATTAAAATCCGATTAAATTAATTTGGCCCACAATTAAAAGCACCCCTGTATTAAGACCCATAATTAAACAGTTTAAAAATTAAAACAATTTAAAAGAGTTAGGCCAGCCCGGCTGGTTGGAATAAAAACGTCTTTAGGGCACGGCGAAAGGTGCGTAGATCCGGGATCTGCCATATCTCCGGGGGCAGCTCATTCCAGAGGGTAGGTGCCCCCACAGAGAAGGCTCTCCCTTTGGGGGCCGCCAGTCAGCATTGTTTGACCGATGGCACCCTGAGGAGCCCCTCTCTGTGGGAGCGTACTGGTCGGTGGGAGGCTATCAGTGGCAGAAGGTGGTCTCGTAAATACCCGGGTCTTAAGCCATGGAACGCTCTAAAGGTGGTAACCAATACCTTGAAGCGCACCCGGAAGACTACCGGGAGCCAGTGCAGCTCGCGCAGGAGAGGTGTTACATGGGAGCGCCAAGTTGCCCCAGAACGCAGCCGCATTCTGGACCAGCTGGAGCCTCCGGATGCTCTTCAAGGGGAGCCCCATTAGAGGGCATTACAGTAATCCAGGCGGCAGGTGACGAAAGCATGAGTGACCCTGCGTAAGGCATCCCGATCCAGAAAGGGACGCAACTGGCGGATCAGGCGAACCTGATAAAAAGCCCCCCTGACCACAGCCGTCATATGCTCTTCTAAAGACAGCCGTGTATCCAGGAGGATGCCCAAGTTGCGGGCCCTCTCTGTGGGGGCCAACGACTCGCCCCCAATAGTCAGCAATGGCGTCAACTGACTATATCGGGATGCCGGAAGCCACAGCCACTCAGTCTTGGACGGGTTGAGCCTGAGCCTGTTTCTCCCCATCCAGATCAGCACGGCCTCCAGGCACCGGGACATCACATCAAGGGCATCGTTGGGGTGGCCCGGGGTGGAGATGTACAGCTGAGTGTCATCAGCGTACAGATGGCACTTCACCCCGAAACCACGGATGATCTCACCCAGTGGCTTCACATAAATGTTGAACAAAAGGGGCGAGAAAACCGACCCTTGTGGCACCCCACAAGGCGCCTCAAGGTCGATCTCTGTCCCCCCCGTCAATATGAACTACGACCGGTCAGAGAGGAAGGAGGAGAACCACCGCAACACGATGCCACCTACCCCCAACCCCTCCAATCGGCGTAGCATGATACCATGATCGATGGTATCAAAAGCCGCTGAGAGGTCTAATAGGACCAGGACAGAGGAACAGCCCCTGTCCCGAGCCCTCAAGAGATCATCAACCAACGTGAACCCTCATTCAAAGAAGCATTAATAATCCCCTGGAGCCAGCCTCATGCAACCTCCCGGGAGGCCAGCACCAGCCAGGAGGGACACGGGTCCAATAAACATGTGGCCGCACTAAGCCTGCCAGAATATATTCTGTTAATATTGTGGATAGTAATTAATTGCATAAAGGGCAGCTTAAAATATAATAAGGAAAATTGGTTTAGGTTTTCCATCTCAACCAGCTGTGAAAATAGCCAATAACAAAAAATTTCATAATTACCAATATCCTATCTACTTAAAAATATGCATTTTTCCAATCTGAAGGAAGCAAAGGTGCTTTGGATCAGTCATGGGTACTTTCTATATCTTAAAAGAGTTGCATCCTATCAAGGTTTGCATGCATTTCCTGAGCTCCCTGGCTACTGTGAAACAGCCCGTTTCCTTGCTGACAGAGTCAGAGAGGATGTGCTCATAGGATTTGAAGGACGTTTGCCCTTTTTGTGTCTAAATAACATACTGTATATCTCTATCTGCCTTGAAAGGCTGTATGAACCAGATGAACTAGGAATTTTGCAATATGCAGGAAGAAAGAAAGCAACTTAGACATTTGGATGTATATGAAAACAGCTGGAAAAGCTTTTTATACAGGACTGCAGTCCTTGTAAAAGACCTAGATATTTTAATGAATCATGTATCATATGTATTTTAAGATTATATTGTCTCAAATTTGGAATTAGAATCTTGAAAGGAAGTTTTAAAATGCCAGGTTTGATACTTTATGTTTAACATATATTATGGTCATATATTTTGTTATTGGTTATCTAAATAGATACCATAGCTAACCCTACCCTAATTTAATATTGATTGGGTTCATACATTACTCTAAACTAGGGCTGTCAAACTCCCGGCCCACTGGCTGGATGTGTCATGCACTGGCCACGCCTGGTTTAGCGAAGGGGAAAAAAGTCCCGATACATCACGTGACGCCACCGTGACAACACAATGGCTGGATTCACAAATCATGCTAAATTAAAATCTACAGACCATATTAATGGCCTTTGTGATATGTGAAGCTAGTGCATAATTATAATTTAGATAGCAACCTATTAGAAAAAAAGTAGAAACTTTCTATTCTCTTCAGCAGGATGATGAATGAGAAGGTGCTGAACTTTTGTATATTGATTCAAATTAACCAAACAATTCTTTAGGAGCAGTTTACCTGAATGAATAATGTTGCGGATATAGAAACTCTTAACAGAATCCCTATTGCCTGGAATGCTCTTTACCACCATCAAAAAAACCCCAAACCAAAGAATTACTTCAGTATGATTAAAATCACAAGTTTTTAAAAATAGTAACATGCACATTTATATTACCAAACCAAAAGTTGCATTTTTTCCCCTGATTATGGTACATTAATTTGAAATTTCGTCCTTAGGATTATTTGGAAAATTATATTACTAAAGAAACTTAATGTCTCAATGTGATACTTATAAGGGATAGCAAAACAATCTCTTCTCTTCTTTTTTAGACACAGTGTTTTTCCATTTGCCACCAAGAAGTGGAGATCGAAGCACAATATATGGGGTCTCTTGTTATAGGCAAATTGAAGCTAAGGTAATAAATCTGAAGTTAGGTAAACATTTTATTGACAATTTATTGAAAATGCACTTGAGATACTCTTCAATTTACAACCATGGTAGAGCCTGGAATTTCAATAATAAGTCCCTATTGAAGTGCTATAGTATGTATCCAGATTCAATTTTACAAGTTTTTACAATGGTTATAAAGCAAGTCACTATGGTGTTAAACAAATCATGTGGTCATTAAGCGAATCCTAGCATTTTTGAACCCTTTGCCAAAAAATGGTAAAAAGGTCATAAATTGTAGTCACCTGACTGTTGAACACTACAACTGGCCATAAATGCAATATGTAACTGAGATGTGATCATGTGACTAAAGGGTGGGAAGGGAGTAGTTATAATTTCAACAATAAGTCATAAGTAGCTTTTTAAAAATCTGCTATAACTTCAACCAGTTGTTAAAAGACCAATTATAAGTTGAGGACTGTATATTGTATACTGGTTTTTACATGTTCATTTGATATTGTACATCTGCATGGTTGTTTAAATGCTAAACAAGAGTGAAGTAACTGGGCCAAATCCGAAAGGAGACTCAGCTGTGGATGCATCTGGTGGTGAAAGGAAAGTCCAACGTTGTAAAGATTTTTTCTCCATAGGAACCTGGAATGTAAGATTCATGAATCAAGGCAAACTGGACGTGATCAAACAAGAGATGACAAGATTGAACATCGACATCTTAGGAACCAGCAAACTAAAAAGGACAAGAATGGGTGAATTTAATTCAGATGACCATCAGGTATACTACTGCAAGCAAGAATCCCTCAGAAGAAATGGAGTAGCCTTCATAATCAATAAAAGAGTAGGAAAAGCAATACTAGGATACAATCCTCAAAATGATAGAATGATCTCAGTTCGAATCTAAGGCAAACCATTCAATATCACAGTAATCCAAGTCTATGCCCCAGCCACTTGTGCTGAAAAGAATGAAATTGACCGGTTCCATGAAGCCCTACAGCACCTTATAGAATTAAAATGATATCCTTATCATTATGAGTGCTTGGAATGCTAAAGTAGGAAACCAAAAGATAACCGGAATAACAGGCAAGTTTGGCCTTGGAGTACAAAATGAAGCAGGGCACAGGCTGATAGAATTCTGTCAAGATAATATGACGGTCATAGCAAATACTCTTTTCCAACAACCCAAGAGACGACTCTACACATGAACATCACCAGACGGTCAACACAGAAATCAGATTGACTATGTGCTCTGTAGCCAAAGATGGAGAAGCTCTATACAGTCAGTAAAAACAAGGCCAGGAGCTGACTGTGGCTCAGATCATGAGCTTCTTGTTGCAAAATTTAGACTTAAATTGAAGAAAGTAGGGAAAAGCACTAGGCCACTCCAGTATGAACTAAATCATATCCCTGATGAATATACAGTAGAGGTGACAAATAGATTTAAGGAATCAGATCTGATAGAGTGCCTGAAGAACTATGGATGGAGGTTCACAACATTGTACAAGAGATAGCAACTAAAATCATCTCAGAGAAAAAGAAATGCAAGAAAGCAAAGTGGTTGTCTGAGGAAGCTTTGCAAATAGCTGAGGAAAGAAGGGAAGCGAAAGGCAAGGGAGAAAGAGAAAAATACACCCAATTGAATGCAGAATTCCAGAGAATAGTTAGAAGAGATAAGAATGCTTTTTTAAATGAACAGTGCAAAGAAATAGAAAAAAAAACCAATAGGATAGGGAGGACCAGAAATCTCTTCAAGAAAATTGGAGATATGAAGGGAACGTTTCATGCAAAGATGGGCATGCTAAAGGACCAAAATGGCAAGGACCTAACATAGGCAGAAGACATTAAGAAGAGGTGGCAAAATTACACAGAAGAACTTTACAAGAACGAGCTTAACATCCCTGATAACCACGAAGGGGGGGTCACTGACCTCGAGCCAGACATCCTAAAATGTGAAGTCAAATGGGCCGTAAGAAATCTGAGCAACAACAAAGCTAGTGGAGGAGACACTATTCCAGCTGAGCTATTCAAAATCATAAAAGACGATGGAGTAAAAGTGCTACACTCAATTTGCCAGCAAATTTGGAAAACTCAACAGTGGCCACAGGATTGGAAAAGGTCAGTTTACATTCCAATTCCAAAGAAAGGCAATGCCAAAGAATGTTCAAACTATCACACCATTGCACTCATTTCACATGCTAGTAAGATTATGCTGAAAATCCTACAAGGTAGGCTCCAGCAGTATGTGGATCAAGAACTACCAGAAGTACAGGCAGGATTTCGAAGAGGCAGAGGAACTAGAGATCAAATTGCTAATATACGCTGGATCATGGAGAAAGCTAGGGAGTTCCAGAAAAACATCTACTTCTGCTTCATTGACTATGCTAAAGCCTTTGATTGTGTGGATCACAACAAATTGTGGTAAGTTCTTAAAGAGATGGGAGTACCAGACCATCTTATTTGTCTCTTAAGAAACCTAATGCAGGTCAAGAAGCAATAGTGAGAACTGGACACAGAACCACTGATTGGTTCAAAATTGGGAAAGGAGTCTGTCAAGGCTATATACTGCCGCCCTGCCTATTTAACTTATATGCAGAGCACATCATGAGAAAGGCGGGGCTAGATGAATCAAAAGTTGGGGATTGCCGGGAGAAATATCAACAACCTCAGATATGCAGATGATACCACTCTAATGGCAGAAAGCAAAGTAGAACTAAAGAGCCTATTGATGTGGGTGAAGAAGGAGAGTGCAAAAGTTGGCTTGAAACTCAACATTAAGAAAACTAAGATCATGGCATCTGGCCTTCTCAATTCCTGGCAAATAGATGGGGAAGAAATGGAGGTAGTGACAGATCTGCAGCCAAGAAATTAAAAGACGCTTTATCCTGGGGAGGAAAGCTATGGCAAGTCTAGACAGCATACTAAAAATCAGAGACATCACCCTGCCAACAAAAGTGCATATAATCAAGGCTATGGTTTTCCCAGTTGCAATGTATGGCTGTGAAAGTTGGACCATAAGAAAGGCTGAACACCAAAGAATCGAGGCCTTTGAACTGTGGTGCTGGAGAAGACTCTGCAAGTCCCTTGGACTGCAAGGCTATCAAACTGGTCAGTCCTAGAGGAGATCATCCCTGACTGGTCTTTAGAAGGCCAGGTTCTGAAGATGAAACTCAAATACTTTGGCCATCTAATGAGAAGGAAGGACTCACTGGAGAAGTGCCTAATGCTGGGAAAGATTGAGGGCAAAAGAAGAACGGGACGACAGAGAAGGAGGTGGCTGAATGGAGTCACTGAAGCAGTAGGCATGAGTTTAAATGGACTCCAGAGGATGGTAGAGGACAGGAAGGCCTGGGGGAATGTTGTCCATGGGGTCACAATGGGTTGGACACAACTTCACAACTAACAACAACAACAAAATAAATGTCATATTTTAGTGAAAAAAATGTTTGCTTTTAAATGGAAATAAGTAAAGAAAAGTTTTTAAGTTTAATTTTTCTTCCTTTAAGGCATTGAAAGTTCGGCAAGCAGACATTACTCGAGAAACAGTACAGAAAAGTGTATGTGTTCTAAGTCAGCTGGTAAGAGATAAGACAACATATGATACTTTGGTTTTGGATGTTTATATTAGATATGAATAATTCATGAACTGAAATATGAATCAAATATATCCTTTCCAGATGGTTTGTTTGACAGAGAAAAATACTCTATATAAACAGTTAAATAAGAGTAACCCAACTGTATATGCTCGTACTACTATACTTTTCAACATAGTATATTGTGATGTAGGGTACAAAAAATTATTGAAGCTTATACTGTTTTAAAGTCTTTTTTCAACTTTAACTTCAACTCATATGAAACTAAATTTAGAAAATAACATTCAATTCCTGGCCCCAGTTTTAAGAGAAAGAAGACTATGATTCCTTACATGATTTTTTTGGCCTTTCTCTATGGGTGTGAGTGTATATTCAGAATATGAAGAAATAGTTTTATGAAAAAATTAATCTGAAACATAGAGTTCTGAATTGGTCTCTTATTAGGCAAAACAATACAATGTTCTTCACAATTAATTTAGATCTAAATACTTGTCTCCCTAGTCTTGTCTCCCAGTTTGTTATTCTTTTACAACACCAGTTTTTTAATGAAATAGAATGAAGTACTTTGCCCATATTTTACTGTATTACTATATAGTCAGTGGTGGGTTGCCCCCGGTTCGGACTGGTTCACAAGAACCGGTAGTAAAACTGGTGGGAGGCCCCACCCACCGCCCAGGATGTCATCATCGGCGATCTGCGCAGAAGCTTCTGCGCATGCGCAGAAGCAAGGCGCGTAAGCGAGCAAAGCAAGCAAAGTGAGAGATCCCATTGCGAACGAATAGTAAAGGTAAGTAGAACCCATCCCTGTATATAATGTTTTGAATAAAAACATATTCAAAAAAAACCCCACAGATTTATGTACAATTAGAACCAGTGTTGTTTTGAAAGTCAGATGTCTCAAAAGTGTTTTTTCAAGAGGCAACTGGACTTTCTGGTTTTTTCTTTGAAGACATTTTGCTTCTCATCCAAGAAGCTTCTTCATCTCTGACTGGATGGTGGGGAATGGAAAGATTTATACTCCTTGCAGATAGCTGGTCATTTGCATTCTTTTAGCAAGTAATTAAGGTCACCTAGAGGTTTATCTGTCATCAGGGTCACCTGGGTGGTGCAAATGGATGTGGAGCCTTCTTGGAACTGTTTAAATGACTGTTGTAGATTGAGATAGATTATGTCGTATCCTTCCCCTTCTGTTGAGAGAGGGCTGTTCAGTTTTGACATAGATGGCCTCTTTGATTCCTGTTTCAAACCAGTGGTCCTCCCTGTCCAAAATGTGAACTTTGCTGTCTTCAAAAGAGTTAGCCTGTGTCTTTTAAATGCAGGTGGGCTGCTGTATCTAGTCCTGCTGTGTTTGTTATCCTATGTTGTGCCATGTGCTTATGAAGTGGTTGTTTTGTTTCCTCAATGTACAGATCTGTACCTGGGTCGTTGCATTGTACTGCATATACCTCATTGCTCAGTTTTTGTCCAGTTCTTTTATCTTGTCTACCCCAAAGATAAAACACTCATATGATACTGTATAGAATAACTGACCATTCCAATTCATATTCATAAATCAGCTGCAACTGTATATGATATATGGCTTGAAGAATATGCAGTGTATTCAGCTTGTTCAAATTCATCTGTTTTTAATGACTAGATTCTGTTATTATTATCTCCTTTTTGTCTCTGTTGATATAATATGATGCTCTTTTTCTTGCAAGCCTCTATATGGGCTACTTCAAGCTAAGTTGCAGCTAATTACACATGCCTACTTTGAAGAGAAAGACTTCTCACAAATTTCAATTCTTAAGGTATGTTTTAAACGTACAAAAGTAAAATTGTTTGAAAGATTGAGAGAGAGGGGGGGGGGGGAAAGAAAGAGAAAGAACACAGTAACATTAAAAGTGGAATGGAGGAAGTGAAATCAGCCATTGCTGATAGAAGAGTATAAACACTTACCAGAGTCCATGATCAGAATAAAATGGAAGGTTCAGCTTAGTTATATTCTTTGCAACACAGATAGTCCTCATCTAATGACTGTTTGTTCAATGATAAGTAGCACTGATGAGTGCTGGTTAATGCCTGCTCCCCAAAGTTACATGATCAAAATTTGGGTGCTTTGTAGCCCATTTGCACTTATGACCACAGGGACTCTTCAACTCCCACCTGCCTATCTCTCCCTCATCTTTGCCCTTTAGGCCACCTGCACTTTGCTACCTCTGCTGGTCTTGCCACCCTATGGTCTGCTGGCCCCGATTTTTCTCAGAGCTTAAAAAATCTGCTTCGGAAGTTGGTATCCTTGTCCAAATTGCATGTAGCCCTTGTCTAATTTGAAAGGCTTGCAAGAAGGTCAAAGTTTTAAGAAGAAGGCCTAGTGCAACAGCAGCTGCTTTGCAAAGGGCCAAGCTGAGTGTGTGCCTGAACAGCAGCAGCAGAAGGAAGAAAATGCAAATGTCAGCTGGGGATGGCAGGGCTCACCTAGCCCTGTAATTCAGGCCTGCTGAATGTTAGTTTCCTCTTACCTGTTATTTATAAAAGAGAAACACTAGATCCAACCTGGTGTCTATTGTTAGTAAGCTAGAAGGCAATTTCTAGCCAGAATCTGACAGCGAATTCTGTATGCTTAAGAAAGAGTTATTGTTCTTTGCTTTCTGAAAGAGTACTCCCTCTAAAAGCTACTGAAACTATTGCTGATATTTTTGAAAGCTATATGCACACATTATTTGCAGAATAGCATATTGTATATAAAATATTTGCAAAATTCTATTAAAGCTACATCTAAAGCAGTTCTTGAACCCCAGGATTCTAAAGGATGGATAATTATATCTTTAGAGACTCCCAAAAAATGTTAGATCTCTTAGAAAAAGTATTTTGGTAGATTTTTCTTATATAAAGTAGACCTTTTCCTTTTCCCCCTAAAGTTACTTTTTAAAAAAGATGCTCATGCTTTCAACATTTTATGGTTTTTCAGGAACTTTATGAACACATGAATAGCTCACTGGGAGGGAGCTCACTGGAAGGATCACAAGTTTATCTTGGTAAGCTATATATGGTAACATAACACTTCCAATTTTTATAAGTATTTTATTACATATAAAGCTTAATGCCAATCCTGTAAGTCTGAAAAAATTACCAGTAATTTTGATTATCTTTCCCATTTGTCATGATTTGTGTGTCATATAAAGCATTAGGTCGTATAAAGCATTAGGTTTTATGTTCAATTCATCTTCTTTTTTTTGCATTTCAATATCTTTCTAAGGAATTTCTTACAAAATAGTTTTTAGAAACCACAACCACAGTATTAAACATGTGTTATTGAAACAGGTCATTTAATCTTCCTTCCATTTTTCTTTTGGAGGACTAGATATGAAAAGTTAAAATCCAAATCACTTTTGAGGACGAATAAAATAGCTGGACTTTTTTCACTATAATTTTATCCTCTTCTTCTTCCTTTAATTCATAGTGCCAGCAAACTTCTCTAATGTATAATGAATCCAAATCAATTTACAGTATATGACAAAAGTTATTGCACCAAGTTTACACAAAGGAAAATACAAATGACCAACAAAGTCACATCTTGTCTAAAATATTGATTATAGTAAATAAATACGGTAATATAATGGTCAATAATAAGAAATAGTATTATCAGTCGATATTTCCTTCAAAAACCTGCCCCATGTTTTAAAGCAATACTAGACAAAGAAGACATACAATGCAACATTTTTTTCTTAATGGTGGTAGAAATCCAGTACTTAAGGATGCTTCTCATGGTAAAATGAATAATGAGGCAGATCTTCACTCTAGCTGCTTATAAAGACTATTTACATTCATCTATCTGACTGTAGAGTTAGAAATCTTACACTGTGAAAGTTTGATGTTTTATACAACGATATATTATCTAAATAACAGGTCACAATATTGCATTTCTACCACCCCAGAGAATGAATTCATATGTATAGTAAATGGAAACAGGTAAGACTCTTACTTAGAAGATTTCTAAGTGTTAGTTGCATTTATAGAAATGTGTCATTTTCCTTTTCATTGTTTTTAGGCTTGTCCCCACGAGATCTTGTTCTTCAATTTAGACACAAGGTAGGTTATAAAACTGAAATGTGCATAATTATTTCCACTTCTTTGAATCTTAAAGAAAACAATATGTAGTTACAGATATAAGTAAACAAAAGAAAAGTGTCTGGATCTATATTGCACATTGACATGACACTTGAATACTTTAAGCATAGAGTCACTTATAAATATATTTCTGGACTGCTAATGTTTAAGATCTGTCTTTCTTTATGTTTTAAAGGTTTTAATTCTTTTTAAGTTGATTCTTCTAGAAAAGAAGGTAAGATTATTCCCATATTTTCTAAAAGGCAAAATATATGACTTCACTAACATTATTTCATTAATACTTTATGGAGATGCATTATTCCATTATGCAGTTAGCCAGGATGGAGAGGTGCTTATTGTGTTTTTTTTGCTGTAGATTTATTAATGTTTCCATCAATGTTATTTGTTATCTTACCATAAGTTACTTTGCTTGTGAAATTAAGTCTCTTACTTCCTCTCTCTAAACAGACACATAGATGTCCACTAGTGATAGGCAACCTGATTTACGTTACTTATGCATTAAACAGATTTTTAAACTAGCTAACTCTTTGGATTTTGAGTGGCATAGCACATACAAAAGAATGAAATGAAAAACCTTTATAGAATTCCCTGGACAGAATAGCAACCAAACTTTCTTTTCCACTTGCAGAAGCAAAAACAGTCAAAAAGACACCAACCCAAAACATAGAGGAGGAGCCATGATTATAGTGGTATTTTAAATGTTGGTACGGCAAAGGTCTTTCAAATGTTTAGTCTACAACATGTATCCTCTGTTGGCACTGATTATTGATCAAGAGAATGTAATCCATAACAGGCCTTATCTTACATAAAAATCTACAGAAGCCGTTGATCAGAAAATATAAAATATATTCATTATAGAGAATAAAAGAAATAAAACTATATAGTTGAATCTAGAAAAGAAAAGAGTATCCAAAATAAAAGTTTTAATAATCAAAGTAACAGCTTATCTTCCATACATATACTCCAACAATTGGTTGTCTAAAGCTCTCCACTAGGTTTTGATGTAAATTGCTGCATAATGGTCCATAATGCTATATTATAATGCAGCTAAGGGAAGACAATGCATTGAATAATTAGTACAGAGCTCCCCAATCCCAGGCCGTGGCCTACAATAGGGCCATGGCTTATTTCATACTGGGCCATGGAAGTGATGAGTAAGCACACGTGTGTGAAGTGCAAGTGGCCCTTTGCGTATGAGTGCAAGCACCCTCTGCTCATACACAAAGTTCTAGTCATGTGAATGGAGACTGTGTGTGCCTGCCACTCGCACCAAGGGAGCTGCGCGTGCACACGCAATGGAAAGGTTGGGGACCACTGAGTTAGAACATTTGTACAAATAATGACACAAGAAGCCGATTGTGTTTTTAAAAGCTACATTATACCCTCTATCCATAGTTTCAATCTTCAGTGGGATAGGATAATGCTCACAGTTATACCCAGGGCTTGCTTAATTTGTCAAAGAAACATTATCATGTCACAAACAAGGACCTAACATCTTACACAATATTTTATCAACCGTTACATTACTTTAAGCCATATTCATAAATTCATAACTTTTCAAGAAGTAATAATACAGATTGCAACATATTTTGTTTGTGGTTGTTATTGTACAGGAGGCATATTAAAACAGCTATATTAAAAATGGCTGAAATATAGGTAAATAGATACTACTGATCATCATCAATCATCATCAACCAATCTTTATTATGGTCACAGACCAGCAAATAAAAGCATTAAAACGATAATAGTAAAAAATAAAAATAAAAGACTGAATAATACATTCCGATTGGTAGTGGATTAACAATGGGCAGTTAAAGTTTGCCTAATTTTACATATAGCATAGCAAAATTTGGCCACATTCAGAAAAACTACTTCATATGGATCTGATAACAATAATTGCACATAAAATAAATCAGTATTTCCTAGATACTTTATTGGTTAAGGTATAATAAATTTAGTCCATCCGTCCTTATAGAAAATGCAATATAGCAGAACATGAACTATAGTTTCAATGGCCCCTTGTCCACAGGGGGACAGACTCACCTTATATGGTATTTTTTTATATTGGCCCTCTAAACTGCTGTGGGAAATGCATTGCAGCATGCTAAGGTTAATGTCCTTCAGATGTTTTAGACAGTTATTTGATATGAATTTCAATGTGAAGAAGAGCAAAGTTTTACATATAGGCAGGAAAAATCAAAGTTATAAGTACAGATTAGGTGAGACCTGGCTCAAAAACTATAAGGGGGACCTTGGAGTCCTAGTGGATGATCACTGAATATGATCCAGTAGTGTGCAGTAGCAGCCAGAAAGGCTAATACAATCCTGGGCTGTATAAACAGAGGCACAAAATTAAGATCACACGAAATATTAGTACCACTTTATAAAACCCTACTAAGACCACACCTGGAATACTGCAACCAATTTTGGTCACCATACTACAAAAAAGATGTTGAGACTTTGGAAAAAGTTCAGAGAAGAGCAACTAAGATGATCAAAGGCCTGGAGACTAAAACATATGAAGAATAGTTGCAGAATTTGAGTTTGGCTAGTCTAAAGAAAAGAAGAATTAGGGGTGACATGACAGCTGTATTCCAGTATTTGAGGGGCTGCCACAAAGGAGAGGGGGTCAAATTATTCTCCAAAGCACCAGAGGGCAAGACAATAAACAATGGTTGGAAACTACACAGAGAGAAGCAACCTGGAATTAAGAAGAAACTTCCTAACAGTGAGGACAGTTAACCAGTGGAACAGCTTGCCTCCAGAAATTGTGGGCACTTCTTCACTGGATATTTTTAAGAAGAATCTAAACCCGTGATGGTGAACTATGGCATACGTGCCACAGGTGGCACATGGAGCCATGGCACGCGAATGTTGCTCTAGCTCAGCTCCAGCATGTATCAGCCAGCTGATTTTCGACCTTCCGGGCCCACCAGAAGTCAGGAAATGGGCCATTTCTGGCCTCCGGAGGGCCTCGGAAGGGGTAGGGGAGGTAGTTTTCATCTTCCCCTGGCTCCAAGAAAGCCTCTGGAGCCTGGGGAGGGCGAAAAATGGACCTACAGGGCCCACAGGTAACCTTTTTGCCGTCGCATGACAAAAGTGGGGGGAGTGCGGGGCGTCATACACGCATGCACAAGGGGGTGGGGCAGGGGTGCATTGAAATGGTTTTGGGTACACGTGCGCATGACGCCCCCACCCTCCCCCACTTTTGGCACACAATGGCAAAAAGGTTAGCCATCACTGGTCTAGACAGTCACGCTCCCCCACTTTTGGCACACAATGGCAAAAAGGTTAGCCATCACTGGTCTAGACAGTCACTTATCTGAAATGGTATAGGTTCTTCTACTTGAGCAGGGAGCTGGACTAGAAGACCTCCAAGGTCCCTTCCAGCTCATTCATTCTATTCTATTCTATATAAATATCTTGCTGTTTAAAGGGGGAAGTTTGACTGCTTCAGTTATACTCTGGTTTCTTTTCAGATCGTATACTACTGACCTATCTTTTTCCCTGCTTCTTTTCAGGTTCTGTTTTATATCTCTCCAGTTAATCGGCTAGTGGGAGCATTAATGACTGTCTTATCACTATTTCCTGGTTAGTATGTATGAGTATGTGTATGTTCTTATCAAAATGCTCCTTGAATCCGTAGCCATTCTTAATTTAAGAATTTAATTTATTTACTTGAAATCCATTCTGAATTTTAAATGGCCTAGTTCCCCCCAAAAGAAAGAATTGGCAGGAAAGGTAAATGTAGACAAAAAACCACGTGTAATGTCCAGCTTCCCCACCTTGTCAATTTAAATTGCCAACTACATAGAAATCAGTTCTAAAGACTCTCTGGCATATGATATTTTTATGAATTTATATGCACATAAAGCTCTAAGAAGACATACTCCCCAAAGACAAGACTAATTCAAAAAAGCATTAATATTAATTCAGCTAGTAACTATTGATAATAAATATTGCTTGTAAAAAAAGATATCATATTGTATTTAATTGATCTACAATAATTATATAACCAGCTATTCTCACATGAGTCATTGTCACACACAAAATACACAAGTACATTCACCAATATTCCCTTCTTTTCTTCTGATAGAATTAGCCCAAAAAAGGTGCAGAAAACATGAGGAAGTTGCATGAGGAAGAGAACAAAAGGGCAGCTAAGCTAGTTGGAAATGATGCAAGGAGAAAATACAATTGCATGGGGGGAAAAAATGAAAAAAATGTGTTTCAGAATTACAAAAAGGGCTAAAAGTTCAAAAAACAAATAACCCTCCCAACTCATGCCTAATTTTCAGGTTAGTTTTCAAAAGCATATATGCAGCCATCTGTACTTTCTCCCATTTATTTGAGTATTTTAGTGAGTATAATACAACATTCCCTCCCAAGGGGAAAATCTTTGCCTTTCTTTTGGGTAAGGATTGTACTCTGAAACATTTGTGTCTGGCAGAAGGCTTGTAATATAATCATTTTTTGCTAACCTTGTAACAATAAGAACTTCAGCCATGGGTTTTAATGCTAGAACCATTATTAGGAGCCAAAGGAAATACTTGTTGAGAATTCTATATAAGGGGAAAATTTGAGGCATTTATAACAGCTCCTGTCAGCCTTCAACACAGGCCAGCTCATGGTATAGATCCGTGATGGCAAACCTATGGCATACGTGCCCAAAATGGCATGTGGAGCCACGTCGCCTGGCACATGTGGCGTCGCCTGTTCCTTTTCCGGGTTTCTGACTCACATGCGCACGTGACAATCAACTGGCTTTTGTGCATGCAGCAGTGCTGGAAACCCGAAGAGCTGGTCTTCTGTTTTCCAGCTTGAGCATGAGCAGCGGCCAGCTGATTGGTGCATGCACATGCGTGGCAGTAACCAAAAGACTTGCTGGTCACCATGCATGCACCTGCCGGAAACCAGAAGTACATTTTCCGGCGCAAGCATGCCCCTTGGGCCACTCTGCTTTCTGGTTGCAGACCCGACAAGTGCGTGTGCAAAGCGCTCCCTTTTTGGCACTCGGTGCCAAAAAGGTTCGCCATCACTGATGAATACATAATAGAAGGATTTCTGGAACACTACCATACTTAAACTTGAAAGCCTGGCATCTAGCTTGAAAGTTACTGAATTTTTTGGAGTATAAGACGCACCTTTTTACCCCCCAAAAGGGGCTGAAAATTTAGGTGCGTCTTATACACCGAATGTAGCCCTGTCTACCCACTGGCCCCCACCCTTTGGCCTGTGCTTCACAGCAGTTACCTCCTTGCAAGCAAACAGCAAGAAAAAACAGCTCCTTTCAGCTTCAGCATAGGTTAATTAGCACAAGTTGATTAGATCGGCCTCCTGACTCTCAGCTGATTTGCTCTCAGCTGTTTTGCGCAGGGCTCTGCTGCTTGCTGCAAAGAGTGCTGGAGCAGATTTTTTTTCTCCTAGCTATGCTGAAAAATGAAACTGAAAGTAAAGCAGGCTCTTTGTTGCAAGGTGGCAATATGAGGCAGAGAGGAATTTCTTTTTCTTTTTCCTCACCAAAAAAGGTAGGTGCAAACCATGGGAAATTTAGGGCAAAAGAGGAGAGTTCAAGATTTTAAAACACAACAGAAAAAAAGGCAAAAATAAAAATGGGAAGGGAGAAAAAGAAAAAGAAATGAAAGAGAAAGATGTTATACATATTTAGAATTGAAATATGAATAGTAGTAAGAAATAAATGGGAAATCATGATTGTAAAAATGAATAATAATTGGAATATTTTTCTATATGGGCAAAACTTTGGGTTATTGGGAGAGTTTAAGATGTGAAAATGAGTAACATAAGGAGAGAGCTCTATTTAATTAGGGAATTGTAATAATTGAGATACTATTAATTGTATATTGTGTTGAAAGCAGAAATGGTTAAGTTGTGGTTTGGAGGATATATGGGGAAAATTATTTGGTTTATTATTATTGGTAAATATAATTAATTGATTTGTAAGAAATTGGATTGCATGGAAATAATTGAAATATTCATGTTCATATTGATTAATATACAAAAAAAAGATAGTTATATAACTAATTGATTTATATTAAAATGTTGAATTTGTATTAAACAACTGTAATATTACATAATTAACCAATGTGAGGATGGATATAAAAATAGATGACAATGGGAAGGGGTATAATATAGAATAGAAGGGAAAAATTGAATTTGATTAAGATTAGAGATGAGGATGAAGGGTAATATTGTTTTTTTCAAAAAATAGATGAGGAATAAATATGGCAAAAAGGAAATACAGAAATTGTAAATGTAATTGAAATGACTAAACACTGTTTAAATTTGTGAACCAGCCAAATACTCTATTCAAAGAAAATATATTGTATGTTTGTATGTGTGTTTATCTAAAAAATAAAAAAAAAACTTTAAAAAAGACAACCAAAAAGGTAGGTGCTTCTTATTTATTTATTTATTTATTTATTTATTTATTTATTTATTTATTTATTTATTATTCAAATTTCTATACCGCCCTTCTCCTTTCGGACTCAGGGCGGTGAACAGCCAAGATAAAAACATCTATACAAACATCACAGTTAAAAATAAAGTTAAAATGATTTATAAATTTGGCCCATAATTTAAAACTTGTCAATTAAAATCAATATTAAAATTTTAAAACTAACCCTAAAATCAAGACAGACCGGCTAACTGAAAAAAATAAGTTTTTAGGGCCCGACGAAAAATCCGGAGGTCGGAGATCACTCGTATCTCTGGGGGTAGATTGTTCCATAGGGTAGGTACCACCACAGAGAAGGCTCTCCTCCTGGGGGTCGTCAGCCGGCATTGTCTGGCCGACGGCACCCTGAGGAGGCCCTCTCTGTGGGAGCGAACCGGCCGGTGGGAGGCTATTGGTGGCAGAAGGCGGTCCCGTAAGTACCCTGGCCCTAAGCCATTGAGCGCTTTAAAGGTGATCACCAACACCTTGAAGCGCACCCGGAAGTCCACCGGAAGCCAATGCAGCTCGCGCAGGAGAGGAGTCACATGGGAGCGCCCCGTCGCTCCCATAATCCCCCGCGCAGCCGCATTCTGCACCAGTTGGAGCCTCCGGGTGTACCCCAAGGGGAGCTCCATGTAGAGAGCGTTACAATAGTCCAGACGAGAAGTGACGAGTGCTTGAGTGACTGTGCGTAGGGAGTCCCGGTCCAGAAAGGGGCGCAACTGGCGTATCAGGCAAACCTGACAAAAAGACCCCCTGGCCACGGCTGTCATATGCCCTTCTAAAGACAGCCGCGCATCCAGGAGGACACCCAAGTTGCGGGCCCTCTCCGTGGGGGCCAATGATTCGCCCCCAATAACCAGCGATGGCGTCAGCTGGCTATACCGGGACACCGGCAGCCACAGCCACTCGGTCTTGGAAGGGTTGAGTCGAAGCCTGTTTCTCCCCATCCAGACCCGCACGGCCTCCAGGCACTGGGACATCACTTCCAAGGCATCATTGGGATGGTCTGGGGTGGAAATGTACAGCTGAGTATCATCAGCGTACTGATGGAACTCCACCCCAAAACCACGGATGATCTCACCCAGCGGCTTCACATAAATGTTGAACAGGAGGGGCGAGAGGACCGACCCTTGCGGCACCCCACAAACAAGGCGCCTTGGGGTCGACCGCTGCCCCCCTGTCAACACGGATTGCGACCGGTCGGAGAGATAGGAGAAGAACCACCGCAAAACGGTGCCCCCCACTCCCAGTCCCTCCAGCCGGCGCAACATGATACCATGGTTGATGGTATCAAAAGCCGCTGAGAGGTCTAATAGGACCAGGATAGAGGAATAACCCCTATCCCGGGCCCTCCAGAGATCATCAACCAACGCGACCAATGCCGTTTCCGTGCTGTACCCAGATCTGAAGCCGGACTGGAGCGGATCCAGATAGACAGCTTCATCCAGGTACTGGGGAAGCTGTCGCGCCACCACTCTCTCAACAACCTTCGCAATAAAGCGTTGGAGACTGGACGATAGTTAGCCAAAACAGCCGGATCCAGGGATGGCTTCTTGAGGAGAGGCCTCACCACCGCCTCTTTCAAGGCGGCCGGCAGGACTCCCTCGCTCAAAGAAGCGTTAATAATCCCCTGGAGCCAGCCTCGTGTAACCTCCCGGGAAGCCAGCACCAACCAGGAGGGACACGGGTCCAATAAATATGTGGTTGCGTTCAGCCGCCCCAAGATCCTGTCCACGTCCTCGGGAGCCACAAGATCAAACTCCTCCCAGATAACACTCTCAAAGCCTGCCTCAGTCATCTCGTCTGAACTAACCCAGTCGGCGGCCAAGTCTTCCCGAATCTGAGTTATTTTATCATCCAGATACTGTACAAAATCCTCAACTCGGCCCTTCAAGGGGTCCTCCCGCGCTCCCAGATGGAGGAGGGAGTGGGTCACCCTAAACAGGGCGGCTGGGCGGTTATCTGATGACGCGATAAGAGCGGCAAAATAGCTAGATTTCGCCGCTTTTATCGCCACTAGGTAGGTCTTAATATGAGACCTTACCAGTGTCAAGTCAGACTCGGAACGACTGGCCCTCCAACCGCTCTCTAGGCGTTTTTTCTGGCGCTTCATCTCCCTCAGCTCCTCGGAAAACCAAGGAGCTAAGTGAGTTCGGTGCCGGGTCAGAGGCCGCAAAGGCACAACCCGGTCCAAAGCCCCGGCAGCCGCCCTATCCCAGGCGGCCACCAGGTCATCAGCCGAGTCATGAGCTAGAGTCTCAGGAAATGGCCCAAGCTTCATCTGGAACCTATCAGGGTCCATCAGGCGCCTGGGGCGGAACCACCTGGTCGGTTCCGCCTCCCTGCGACGGGGTACGGCGGTCAGAAAGTCAAGTCGAAGGAGCGAGTGGTCAGACCATGACAAGGGTTCAATATCTACATCCCCTATATCAAGGCCACTCAACCACTGACCAGAGATAAAAACTAAGTCCAGAGTGTGTCCCCCCATATGAGTAGGGCCGTGAATTACTTGGGTCAGGTCCATGGCCGTCATGGAAGCCATGAACTCCCGAGCTACCTCAGATGTTTCACCGCTGGATGGCAGGTTGAAATCCCCCATGACCACAAGTCTGGGGGTATCAGCCGCCACCTCGGCTATAACATTGAGGAGTTCGGGCAGGGTCGTTGCCACGTGGCAGGGAGCCAGGTACGTGATCAACAGACCCATCTGCACCCCACGACCCCACTTCACAAAAAGGGACTCACATCCGGCTATCTGAGGTACAGTGGTCTCCCTCGGATCAAGACCTTCTTTTAGAATGACCGCCACCACCCCCCGCCCCTGCCCTGAGCTCTCGGCTGATGAAATGCACGGAAGCCTGATGGGCACATCTCCACGAGGGGAACACCCCCCTCATGGCCCAACCAGGTCTCCGTGATACTTGCCAGGTCCGCTCCCCCCTCCTGAATAATATCACAAATGAGGGGGGCTTTATTTACTACGGACCTGGCATTACAAAACATCAGCCGGAGACTCGGGCACTGAGACTCTAAGCAGCCTGGGGAACGGGAAGAGCTAAGGGGACCGGGGCACGCAATCGCTCGGAGATAGCGAGCACGTGCCCCCACCACATGATATGGCCCCCTGCTCCCGCCATACCTGCCCCTCCCACTCAGCGTGTTAATAGAGAAGCCCTCACTAGAGGGCATTCTAACAGTCCCCTTTCCCCCAGAGTCCGCACCCCCTACGGCACCATTAATAGCAGCCGGACTGGTCTCCAACCCCCATTGGTTTTCCCCCAAACCCACATAACCTGCCCCACCCTCAGAACCCCTTAAAAGTCTATTTTAAAAAGTCTTTAAAAAACCCCTCAATCCCCTTTTTGCGACATGCCACCTCTCGGGGTTCCAAGATCCGTCATTAAGGTGGGCCCTCGATCACATAGAGGGCCAGGCCTGCGAGAGGGGGGAATCTCGCAGCGCAAGAAGCTTTGCCCTAGAATACATTTTAACACTAGAGTGATAATACAAATTTGGCCTAGACATGGCCTAGGGGTTTATAATGATGGTTTCAAATGTCCAGGAAGCAAGACTAAGTTAATCGGAAGAGTCACCATTACCCTCTCACGGTAATGGGTAGGAGTCCTCACGTTCAGTCCAGCTGAGGGAAACTATCCAACCACCCTCTCACGGTGGTTGGCCATCCTAATCAAGGCAAGATGGAAAAAGTCCAAAAACCACCCTCTCACGGTGGTTTGGGCTTCCTGGCCCTGGAAAGATGAGTCCCATCCGCGGCGAACATAGTCTGGAGCTGGCTCCATCCATCCTCCCGTAACTGCCTTGTCCTCCATACAGCCAGGAGACAGGACGAAAGACAGAGCCAGGTCCCAAGCTCTGGGGAAGAAAGTCGACATTGGCCGATAGGCCGATAACAGGGCCAGAAAAAGGGAGGGGGGGGAGGCCATCCATAGCGACCCAATACTTGAGCCGTCCACCAGCCTCTCCAACCCCAGGTCTTTCCACACAAACCCTTAACGTCAGCCATGTATCCTTCAACCCCTGAGCACAATGGGGTTCAACTCCCCCATTTCAATGTCAAGGCTTGATGTTCCTCTCCTCTCCTCCAACGCCAACAATTCTCCAGCTCTCCAGCACCACCACCCTCGACCTGGTTGCCATGCAGCAGCCACCATTACCACAGCGTCGTCCTCGGCACTGGCCACACCCGAGCTCCCAGCGTTCCCCAGCGCCCCCGGAACATCCAAAAGAAACCCCTAGGGGCATCCAGGGTCAGGGGGGAGCTCGCTGGGCATCACCGCCGCCGCCAACGCTCTGGCCGCCGCCGCCTCGGCCAAACAGGGAGAAAAAAACCGGCAGAGCCGATGCAGCCGGGCTGTCGGCGTTCAGCCTCGGCGTTCTTCCACCCGCGCCGTCTTCCGGTCACTTCTCCCCAGCCATGAGGTTCCGGAGGGCGAAAAAGCCCTCATCAGGCTGGGGAGAGACTCCTCCAACTGGAAAAGGGGTTGCCGATGTTCATGGCAGCCCCAGAAGACCCCTGCCAGTCCACGAGCTGCCCATCCCTAGACGTGATCTAGACGGGCGTCGCCATCTTGGGGCATGCGCAGTTGCCCCAAGTGCGTCTTATACTCCGAAAAATACGATATCATATGCCATTTTCTACACCAATCAGAATAAAGGATTATTCTTACAACAATTCTTATGTTCCTTCATTAAAATTATTTCCAAACTCCGCTACACCTACTCAATTACACCAATAATTATTTACTTCATTGAAAAATAACTTTCTGAAAGTCTAGAAAGAATCATGGGTGTGTTGTATTTTTGCAATTAACTGTAGTTTTCATCTTAGCATAGTTTCCCATATAAATTGGTGATTGCTCCTATATAGAATCTATTAATCTCATTTATAATTTTTTTTAATAAATTCCAGGTATGATAGAACATGGTCTGACTGATTGCTCACAGTACCGACCAAGAAAAAACACAGCAGAGGAAGTTGGACAAGAAGTTTCGCCTCCTTCCACTTACTGTGTTTCTTTGTCTGCTCTGGCATTTTCAAATGCTAATTTTGATACAGTTGGAGAAGGCAAAAAATTGTCAAGAAACCAAGAAAGAGATACTCAGAGAGCAGATGTACCTTTATTTCAAATTGAGCATCAATCCAGTGAATTTCATGTCTGCCAGGATCATGAACAATACTTGAAAAATTCTTTACACACTTCTCCAGAATCTTCTGAAAGTGAATGGGAAACCTTAGATCCTAATCTCCTACAGGACCCTAACTTGAAAGAAGGAGAATGTGAAATTACTTCAGTAGCAGGACAGACCAAATTTCTTCTGAAGGAGTCAGTGATTTCCAAAAGTGTTCCAATTACTGTTCAGCCTCAACCTAATACAGGACATACAGTCTTTGTACCTGGACTTATTTCTGGTTTGGAAGAAGATCAGTATGGTATGCCATTAGCTGTCTTCACTAAGGTAATTCCTATAGTATAAAGGGGGACAAACTTTGGTTACCAAGTGCTGTTTTTAACATTTTTCAGGAATAAAGAGATGCATAGAGGGTAGGCCAGCATACGTGTAAGCAGGAATGGTTTGGAACAGGAGTGTCAAACTCAAGGCCCGCAGGCTGGATCTGGCCCCTGGGGTGCTTAAATCCGGCCCTTGGGGCCGGCCTGGAAATATTAAAGGACTGGCCTGTAGTGCCTCTGCCAGCCAAAATGGGCTGCCCAGGCCTCTGCGCAGCCTGTTTTTGGCCAACAGAGTGCTGCTGGAGTCCGGGGAGGCTGAAAATGAGGCATGGGGGGGGACGTGCGTGCCCTCCCGTGCCCATTTTGGCCAGTAAAGTGCTGCAGAAGGCCATTCAGGCCAAAAACAGGGCAGAGGGGGCCACGCCCCCTTTTGGGCGGCAAGGTGCTGCAGGAGGCGTCCATCCCGTCTCCCTCCCGCTTCCCCCCCTGCCAGCCCACAGAGAACTACAATGCTGATCTGGCCCTCGAAGAAATCCAGTTTGACACTCATGGTTTAGAAGTTCCTAAACTACCTTTTTTAGGACATATGTGTATTTTCAAATATATTTCACTTCAGAATGAAAGGAAATTATGCTAATAGTTTTGAGTAATTATGGACAAGCACTGACCAGAAGCAAGCTTGGAGATTAAAAGTTACTGAGGTTGCCTTCATCTGTTCTAGTAATGAGCAATTCTCTAATTTTAGGAGTTCTTTCAAAAAAATGTTGTGTCACTACAATAGTTTGAAGAATGCCAGGGATCTTGATCGTAAAATGCTTTGAATAACTTAGGGCAGGGGTGTCAAACTCGCATCACGGCAGCATCATGTAATGTATTGGGACTTTTTTCCCCTTTGCTAAACCGGGCAGGGGCAGAGCCAGCACGTGATGCATCCAGCCCGTGGGCCGCAAGTTTGACATTCCTGATTTAAGGTATCAGTACAATTGTAGAAAAGTGAAGATATCAAATCAAAGCTGCATGTTTTTGTATTAATGTATTGATGGGACAGATAAACCCATTAAAAAGGAAATGAACTTAAGCACAATTTAGGCTTTCAATTATAACTATCCTGGTAATATATGATATCCTAACAAAGCCAGTGATGTCCAGCTTCTGGAAATCCTTTAGATAAATCGACCTTAGAGCAGGGGTTCCTAAAATGTTTGCCATCACACCTCTCTTTACTGTAATCTTAATGTAAACACCTCCCCTAAAAATCCAAACACCAAATGAATATAAATAAACAATGAAAACAATATTATGCTAGTCTATGACTATAATAAAGATTTAGTTGATAAAAACAAAACAAATAAACTTAGACAAATCTGCATTTATTGTAACAATACAACTAAAGATGGACAAGATTCCTATGTTGTTAATGTAACCACATGTCAATTAGATCTCTATCCCTACTGTTTGATGAAAACCCCCAAGATAGTGATAGCTAGGTGGGTTCAGGCAGTAATAAATTCATCGCTACAGGAGGAGATGTTTCTGGGACTCTTTAAGGAGACCCTGATTTACCGCCTTCTTTAAAAACCAGCTCTTGATCCCACCTGTCTTGGCAGCTTCCATCCCGTGGCCCACTTTGCCTTTTTAGGAAAGAAGATCCTAAAGAAGATGGTTGCTTGGCAGCTTCACAGGATCTTGGGTGAAACAGATTATCTGGATCCCTTCCAGTAAGGTTTCAGGTCCGGTTATAAGTCAGAAACAACATTGGTCACACTTGTGGATGATCTCTGGCAAGAACAAAATAAAGATCTATCCTTGATCAGATTTTAAAACTCTGTCTTGGTTGCTGTTTTAAATTTAGAAAGAATAGGGACCAAATATAGCTCCTGAAGAAGTATATTCCATAGTCATGTAGCAAAACAGAAGTAACTCCTTCTTGTACAAATAACTAAACATGTAGTCAGAAGGCATGATGGCATAGAAGAGGCTACAACTTTCAGTGTGTGTGTGTGTGTGTGTGTGTGTGTGTGTAGGATAGACAGACAGACAGACAGATAAATGGAGCCTCTCAGTATGGAGGCATCTGAAGAACAATCTGGCTGTAAACTATTTAGGATTATCACCAACAGTTGAAATTGTGTCCCAAAAGTAATTGACAGTGATTTGCAAACGATATGCCACATTTCACACTAAGTACAATTTCCAGATTAATTTTTCTCATAAAAAGCATATTGTAGTAATAAAGATGAGGTTTGATTTACTTTATTGGGTAATTCAGTATTTTTTAACTTTGGCAAATTTAAGACGTATGGACTTCAGTTCCCAGAATGAGTTAATTTATAAGTAGTTTTTGTCCAGATGTTCAAGGTAGCTGTCATGGAAATCACACTTCATTTTATCTCCACAATAAATCTTTGAGTAGATTGGCATGAGAGAGTAAATGAATGAATGAATCAGTGGACTTATATATTTGAAAATGGAATTGAACTTGGATCCACCAATCATAGACCAACATTTTAAATGTGATAACGCATCAACTGGCATTGATAAATATTGACAAATTCAGTCAGTCTAGGAATGGATTGCAGCTGGTACACTAATTGTACAAATACACAAGTGCCATCTGAATATCAAGAGAATCCCCCATACTGCAAGCTTGTGATTTGGGGCAAGTATAACCTCATCAAGAATAAGCTAAGTTTCCATTTCAGAGTCCAGTTATTTATTTACCATTGAACATCTATCATTTCTGGATTTCATTTCAATTTGTTTCCTTCATCTAGCCCATTATTGAACCTCACCATATTCAGAGATATTGATTGCTTCTTTAGGGCTGCATCATATTGAATAATAGAGCTGATTGTCATCAACATATTGATAGAACTTCACTTCAGAACTCTGGATAAACTTCCCTGGTATTTTCATGCAGATATTCAACAATATGAAGAATAGGGAAAACCATGTAGAATTCCAAAGGTCAATAGCTAGATGTTGAATCATTTGAACATGGCCTAAGAGAACAATGCAAAACACTGTCCCATGACTTCATCTTCATTCTCCCAGATAGGGTAGAAAGAAGTATGAAGGTTGATGATGCTGTAAACCATAAAAAGGTCCATAAGATCACATCATTTCCAGGATAAGTCATGTGTAAGCAAAAAGTCTCAGTAAATATCTAAAAGTTCAAGGCATATCTGTTCAGTATCATCTAAATAATACCTTTCAGCAACATTGGAAAAGGCAAGTTTTTCCCACTCCTCTTCCCTCCCCAGCCTTTTTATGCTGCTTGGACTTCCTAGTGAAGACCATAGGTTAATTCAATGAAACAATCATCTATTGTGTTTCTTTAAAACAAAAATTCCACAGTGGTAAATAAGCGATAGCTAATGCAGTAAATTATAATCATTTGCTTATATACTGTACATTAAAATTGTTTCTCCAGTCCTTCTGTCTTTCTAAATTATAATGCCATGCATGATTAATATTTTTCTTGATTTTAGGGATACCTTTGCTTGCCATACATGGCGCTGCAACAGCACCACCTTCTCTCTGATGTAACAATCCGCGGTTTTGTTGCAGGAGCCACCAATATCCTCTTCCATCAGCAGAAACATCTAAGTGATGCTATTGTAGAGGTGTGTATCCTTTTCTTTATAATTTCTTATAGTAATTACCTCATGGAGCAAAAGACAATTTATGTATTACAAGGTTCTAATTAAAAAGTTTCTTAAATTTTTATAAAAAATAATTTAAGATTTTGGAAAGACATGTCATTTTTATAATCACATGGCAGACAAGTGATACACTTCCTTATGTGTGTGTTTAAGTGTGTATACATACATACATACATACATCTACATGCGTAGATAAGATTCTCTTTGTAGATAAATTTATCAATAATAGGTAGTGAACATGTTTAAAAAAATATTTTCAAGATTGAATTTAGTCACTGTTGAAATACCAAAATTCAACTAATCGACCTTTCTAATCAAAGTTCTAAAAAAAAAAATATTGTAAAGATTGGGACCTTCCGTTTGACGTCGCGGCGTGATCAAACATGGAAAGCGGGTCTCTGTGTCGAGTTCTCCCCATTGGTGGGCTCCAAAAGGAGCCAAAGATGCCTTGGAGGGGCAGTGAAACAAAGAGGGATGCCCTGCAAGGTCTCGGAGAATCGCAGCTCTCCTGTCTGACCCGGGACTTACTTTCCTTCTCAGCCATGATGAGGAAAAAAGACAGGCTATGATAGCTGCCACGAAGTTGGAACAACTGATGACCATCTAAGCTTTGAGCTGTCCAGATTTTGGTGAACAGTGTGGAACTGGGTGAGAGGATTTTTTTTTTACCTGAAAGTTAACCCCAAAAGAGAAATCTAGGATTTACTCAGAATATCTGTTAAAGCAGCGATCAAACACTTTGAGAAAACTACCAGACCGGAAAAATAGGATTAAAGAGAGAAAAAAAAAAATTCTTCAAAATGTAGGAAATTGGATTCTCAAATTGGGAAAACGTGACATTGGGAAGGCAATTTAAAATGCTGGAATTACAGATTTAAAAAATTAAGACTGCTTCTATAATTGAATTACAATTTAAAATAATTAAAACCAGATTTTTAGTAATAATATTGAAATTTAACCTGAGAGTGCCACCAGCTGGTGAAAGGAAAATATACAAGCCTGAGACTATCCATTTAAAGGACTGTGAAAATATTTACTGGACTATATACATCTACCCAATGATCACTGGAGATTAAAATGTGAGAATAGGGAAGATACTTAATTAAAGTGACCTGAACATTAAGTTATATGACTGACTCTATAAAAGTGACTTAAAGAGGCTTGGAACCTCCCTGGACTATGTAAATGGAACTCACTGACTACTTATGGAATATAAAGAACTGTGATTAGGTATACTTTGAAGAGTAACCTCAGGTTTGAACAAATGGTTCTTGGGCTATTGGTCAAAAGTGTAATTTATTAAAACAAGATAAGATGCAACATAAGGAGGTAACAAGCAGAACTTGGAATGAGAACGAGATGGACTGGATGTTTCAAAGCATAAAGGATATGATACAGAAAGAACATAAAGCGATTTTGGAATTAATGGATGGCATAGATCAAAAATTGGAAAATATTATACAAAAAGACAATGAGTATTGACCACGATGCCCAAGAAAGAAAGAAGCTACCAGAAGGAACAGAGGGAAAAACAGAATTGAGGAATCAACAAAAAGAAGATAACGAGAAGTCATCAATAAAATTAATAATGTTTGATGAATCAAACCAGGGAGAAACATTCTAAGAGATCTGAAAAGAGAACGGGAGAAGCAGGAAGATACTTTGGGCAGGGAGACAGGGATCTGGCTGATAATTTTAAAACTAGACAGTGGAAGAGGGTAGGGATGGGAGAAACACTTATATTGACTAGGCAGGATGTAGACACAGATACAGACAGAGATAAAGATCTAAGAGAAGAATATGGGAGGCAAGACAAAAAAAGAATAAGTATTAAAGAATTGATGCGGATAAGAGATGATGGATAGAAAGTGGATAGGAAAAAGAAGAAAGAAAAAAATTCTCTTTTTCCTTTTTTTATAAGGGTGGCAGGAGGAGAAATTAGAAGAGAGATAGGAATGTGTTCAATAAGAGATTGAGGGATTACTTGTATATATATCTTTATATGATAAAACAAAAGTAATAATAAAATGGGAAAATTAGAGACTGAATGATGGTATTACTAAGTAAGCTTAAATAATATTGTGATTGGTAAACATTGAGCAATTAAATAACAAAAAGAACATATTTTAATATAAACGTGTATTAATACTAGAATTATATAGACTGGATGAAAGCAAAGAATATGAATAGAGTTATTTTGTATGTTTAAATAATATTGTGATTGGCATTAGAATAATATATTGAGACATTGAATAATGAAACAATGAAGGATAATATTTTAATATAAATAGATTCGGAGTGAAATATGGGAAATATGAATAAGAACTAACTATTAAAAATGGGAAGATTAGAGATTGAATGATGGTATTATTGAGTATGTTTAAATAATACTATGATTTGCAGTGGAATAATAAAGTGAAATAATGAATAATAAAATGATGAAAGAACATATTTTAATATAAACAGGTGTATTAATAGTGGAATTATATAAATTGGATGAATGTAAAGAATATGAATAGAATTAATTTGCATGTTTAAATAATGTGATTGGTATTAGAATTGCATATTTAAATATTGAACAATGAAATAATGAAGGATAGTATTGCAATACAAAGGGAATGTCTTTTAATATAATGGTGACATGAATAAAAGTTAGAATAAAGACAGAAATAAGAGAAAGGGGGAATATTAATATACACATTTTTATAAAATAAGATAAGTGCAATGATAAGAGGGAGGTTTAGAAAGTGAATGGCGGTAGTATTATGTATGTTTAAATATGAAATAATGAAAGATTATAATTTGATATAAATGTGTATCACTACTAGAAATATATAAGCCGGATGAATGTGATAACTATGATTAATAATGTCATTTTATCTGTACTGAAATGTATGGCACCAGGTGTCACACTGTTCACGCATTGATATATATATGTAATATAAAATAAAAAACTTGATTAAAAAATATTGTATTAGGAGCTGGTTGACACATTACAAGCCTGCGTATTGTTTCTTAAAGTAAGCTTTCATAACTCCTTGTAAATTATTGAATACTTAAGTCCCTTGATAGTTACTATTCTTGGAGAGCTTTTACATTATCACCAGCTTTCCATTTCTTCGTTTGATAGAATTGGATGTGAGCACAGGAGAATCAGGTTACCAGGACTACAATGAATTTGTGATGTATTCTGAAATCTTTCCATATAAGATGAAAAAGAAGTCTTGTTTACTTTTAGAAATTGGAATAAATAAGTACAAATAATTGTTTCAATCACCATCTCTACCCCAATTTTTTTTCATTTTGAATTGTTCTCAATCAGATTGAGGAAGCTCTTGTCGAAGTCCATGATCCAGACCTTAGAAAAATCTTAAATCCTACAACAGCTGACTTGAGATTTGCAGATTTCTTAGTGAAGCATGTAACTGAAAACAGGGATGATGTCTTCCTGGATGGCACTGGCTGGGAAGGAGGGGATGAATGGATTCGAGCCCAGTTTGGGTCATATCTCCATGCCCTACTTGCTGCTACAGTACAGTCAGGTAAGTTCTGGAATATTTTGATCTGTAAATTTAAACAATCTTACAAAATACTTTGTAATTGTCTAGGAGAGTCTAGGAAGGGAGTGTCAAAAAAATCCAGAGAGTAGGATATGGCCATCTTAATTATTGATCGAAAGACATTTCCCTATTAAAAATATTGATCACTTATACATTCCCATGACTAATTAATCTATCAGTTGCCATCCAAAAAGTTGAATGGATTTCGTATTGTGAAAATGACTTTTTAGAAACTAAATTGATTGGGCACAACTCTGAGTGGCATGGTGTTTGGCTAGTACGAGACATAATATTTCAGTGTTCTGTACAAGTTCATCTCAACTGCCCTTGTAATCTAATCTTCATATTTTTGGCTTCACTGGATTCATCTAGATTTAGTCATGGTTAAAACCTCTGGAGAAGAGTAGCTGAAATTGATTAAGTGTGTTATGACTAACTTTTCCACTGATTTCAATGCATCTGTTCTAAATCTTAAGTCTGTATCTAACCATTTCATTTGTACTCTTTACCAGCAAGGCTTTGAGGCTTAAAGAAAAGGGCTATGTTTTCTCTGACAATATAGAATTCACACTAGTAAAAATTGCAGAATTAAAATATCTTTAAAACTCTTTTTAAATAGTCCTATGCTGAGAGGTTTTATGCTCAGGATATATGAAAATAAACTGTCTTTAGTTCTTCAAAACCAATTGAATAATTGCAAAACTTTTATTCTTGGATATTTATATTCTTCTGGATAGAATAATGTGTGATTTGAATTTTGTAAAATAAAAATTATGTGTTTACTTTTTTGAGTAAAGATACATTTATGCCTTTGCTTATTACATTCGAAAAATCACTCTAATCCCATTTCTGTTTGGGTAGGGATTCATCAGTAGTCCTTTCAAAGAAGAAACTACTTTTAGTAGCATGTGTCATCTCATAATTTAGAATTAAATCATGGATATTTTGGGATATGCAGGAAAAAATATAGTCATAAAAAGAAACTATCAACTTTTTCAAGCAGCTTTGTTCCTTCTCGACTAGATATTTCTGTATCCACCAATCTTATGATGGTTTTATGCTACCAAAGTGAAATAAAATTCTTTTTTTTTTATTTCAAAAGTTTTACAGTTACATTTTCACCCCATTTTCCCCCACCACCACCCACCCCAAACATCCCAACCTCCCTAACCCTCCCTAACCCTCCCCTCCCCCCAGACTTCCACACAGTATACTCATATCAGATAAAAAAAAACCCTTAGTATAAAACTTGTATAAAACTTGAACCCGTCCCTCCCCCTTATAATTTTTCTTTTTATCTTCATTACATTAAAATATTTGTAATACATTTTTTTCAAATAAAAGCTATTTGATACTTCCTAGTTTGATATTTGTTCTGAACATATTCTATCCACTTTTTCCATTCCCATTCATAAGTCTCTTGTGAACAATCTTTTAAGTATGCTGAAATCTTCGCCATCTCTGCAAAACTGGCCATCTTCAAAGTCCATTCCTCAATAGAGGGCAGAGCTTCGTTTTTCCAATATTTACCTATCAACAATCTTGCTGCTGTTATCATATACAATATCAATTTTGTTTCACCCAATGTAAAACCCTTAACTATATCCAATAAGAACAGTTGTGGAGAAAATTGAATTTTTTTCTTCAAAACATTCTGCATGACCCACCAAATTTTTATCCAAAAAGCCTTAACTTTCCTACAGGTCCACCAAACATGGTAATATGTAGCATCCAAGCATTCACATCTCCAACATTTTGGCTGAACATTAGGGTACATACATGATAACTTTTTGGGGTCTAAGTGCCATCTATAAAACATTTTGTAGAAATTTTCCCTCAAATTCTGCGACTGTGTAAATTTAACATTCTGAACCCAAATTTTTTCCCATGTTTCCAACATCACTGGTTCTTCAAAATTTTGAGCCCACTTAATCATACAATCTTTAACTAATTCGGTTTCTGAATCCCTTTCTAACAAAACATTATAAAGCCTTTTAATATGCATTGGACCTTTCTCTTTTATGTGTCTAACCAATTCTTCCTCATGCAACATAATACCAGTTTTTTGATCCTCTTTCCATCTCAATTGCAATTGATTATATTGTAGCCAGGTTAAATTAATCCCTTCAGCCAACAGTGTCTGTAGTGTCTTCAACTGCCATCTGCCCGCATCTGTAAAAAGAACCTCTTTATATAACCCCCCCCCCCGAGTGACATTATATTTGTATTCCACAAAGTATGACCAAGATCCAGCCATAGCGGTATTTTATAATCCCATTTGAGTCAGTGCTTCTTCCAAACTCTCATCAAAGAGTCTCTAAGTATATGGCTTTTAAATACTTTATCGACTTTATCATCATAAAATAAGTAGGCATGCCATCCAAATTCAAGATCAAAACTTTCTGCGTTCAATATTCCAGTCTTTTTCCTTCCAAACCAATCACTTGTTAAAGTCAAAGCTGCTGCATCATAATATAACTGTAGGTTTGGTAATTTAAGACCTCCCCTTTCTGGAACATCTTGCATAATTTTCAATTTCACTCTCGGCTTTTTCTCGTTCCAGACAAACTTATTCACTCCAGCTTGCCACACTTTCACTTGTTTATCACTTTTAAGCACCGGAATCATTTGAAACAGAAAAAGAAATCTTGGCAAAATGTTCATCTTAACTGCTGCTATTCTTCCAAGTAGAGACAGTTGCAGTTTTTTCCAAGTCTCTAAATCTTTCTGCACCTCTCGCCACAACACCTCGTAGTTATTTTGAAACAATTTCGTATTTGATTCTGCAACCTGGACTCCTAGATATTTTACCCTTGGTACAACCTCAAAACCTGCCCTCCTTTCAAGCTCGTGTTTACGATCTTGTGTCATATTTTTAACTATCATCTTAGTCTTTTTATGATTCAGTCTAAAACCTGAGACTTTACCATAGTCTTGTATAATGTCCTTCATCAGGATTATTGATTCCATTGGCTGTGTTAGGGTAACAACTAGATCGTCTGCAAATGCCTTTATTCTGTAATCATCTTGCCTTATCGTTATACCTTTCAAGATATTAGAGTCCCGTATTGTATTTAGCAAGACTTCTAGTGTTAAGATAAATAAGAGTGGGGACAGCGGACATCCCTGTCTTGTTCCTTTTTCAATTTTAAACTCTGTTGTCAAGCTTCCGTTAATAATAATCTGTGCCTTTTGCTCTTGATAAATTGCTGAAATCGCCTGTACAAATTGATCCCCAAAATTCATCTTTTTTAAAGTCTTTAGTAGAAAATTCCAATCCACTCTATCAAAGGCCTTCTCTGCATCCAAGAAAACCAGCACTGCAGGGATCTGTTTATTCTTCTCAAGATATTCCAATAGATCTATTACTTGCCTTACATTGTCCTTCATATATCTACCCTCGATAAATCCCGCTTGATCATCATGAATCACCTTTTGAATTACTGGCATCAACCTGTTGGCTAATACTTTCGCATAAATTTTATAATCAGAATTCAGAAGAGATATTGGTCTATAATTCTCCGGTTTTTTAGGACCGGCTTGCTCTTTTGGTATCAAAGATATGTAAGCTGTTGTCCATGATGGGGGTATTTTGCCCCCTTGTTGGATATTGCAAAATAAATCTCTAAGTTGTTCCACCATTTCAGCTTGCAAAGTTTTATAATAGACTGCAGTCAAGCCATCCGTACCAGGAGCTTTAGCTGTTTTTAATTGTTTAATTGCTACTATTATCTCCTCCACTGTTATAGGATAATTCATTCTTTCCTTTTGTTGATCAGTAATTTTTATAACTTTTTTATCATCTAGATATTCTTCTATAAGTCCATTTTGCACATCCTCTTTAGCATATAATTTAGTATAATAATCCACAAAAGCTTCTTTAATTAATTTTTCTTGAAAAATTTCTTTCCCTCCAATATCAATACTATCAATAGTCCGTATACTCTGTTTTTTCCTCAATGTATAGGCCAACCATCTGCCCGGTTTATTAGCGTTACAAAATGTATTATGCTTCGCATATTGTAAGTTTGTTGCAACTTGTTCCGCCATAAGCATTTGAAATTGGTCTTTCAAAAGTTTTATAGCACCACGCATTCTTTCATCTGTTGGATTTTTAATAAGTAACTGTTCTTTATTCTTTATTTCTGCTTCCAATTCAGATCTTTTCTTTTGTCGAATCAATCTATGTTTAGAGTTCATATAGATAAGCACCCCTCTCATATAAGCTTTGCTTGCGTCCCACACAATTTCTATTGGGGTGCCTTTATTCAAATTTAGTTGAAAAAATTCTTTCAGGTGTTTTTTAAGTTCTATTATATTTTTTTCATATCTGAACAAGTTCTCATTTAATCTCCAAGAGCGTCTCTCAGTCTTGCCTATCTCAATTTCTATCCATACTGGGCTATGGTCAGTCAAAGTTCTTGGAAAAATCTTTGTTCTTTTTGTCTTAACGAGTAAATCATCTGACAACAAAATGAAATCGATCCTAGAAAAGGATCTATGTCTGTCTGAAAAGAAAGTATAGTCCAATTCTTTTGGGTTGTGTATTCTCCAAATATCTTTTAATTCCAAATCTTCTTTCATATCAAAAAAGGTCTGTGGTAGCCTAATCCTAGACTTCGCCAAACTCTTTTTATCTAATTTGGAGTCAATTACTCCATTCCAGTCTCCCATGATTAAAATAGATCTATAATCCCATTGCAGTATTTTAGAATGTAGCATTTTGTAGAAGTGATCCTGTTGTTGGTTGGGAGCATAAATTCCAATCAAAAGAATTTGGCCGTTTGTTGTAAATAATTCAATTGCTACAAACCTACCATCTTCATCTGCTTCTATAACTTTAGCCGAAAATTTTTTATTTACATAAATAACCACACCATTCTTTTTTTGCAAAGTTGAAGATATAAAATGCGTTCCTAGTTTGGAGTTTATCAAATATTTTTGATCTTGAACTGTAATATGCGTTTCTTGTAAACAAATTATATCATTATTAAATTGTTTCAAATATGCAAATAATTTCTTCCTTTTCTGTACTGAATTCCACCCATTCACATTCCAAGATAAACACTTAATCATCATCTTTATCTTCCTGGAGCAAAGAGCAGAATAACCGAATGTCTTCCAAAATCTTCGGTCTCGCTCCCCCCATGGCTCCAGTCTCTTGTGTAGTACTCTTAGCTTCCTTTTTATCTTGTCGCTGTTGTTGCTTTTCTTTAAGTTGCTTAGACTTAGCTCGGGTTATATGCTGATCCTTAAATTCAACCGCCTGCACCGGGTCCAAAATTAGAGAAGATTCCAGCAAAGGCTCATCCAGAAAACCTCCTTCAGCGCCCTGCGGTTCCTCTAGTTCCTGCTTAGACTGTTCTTGAGGTTCTTGTTGAAGTTGCTTCTTATCACTCTCCTTAATCTCCAGAACTGTGGATTTACGCGGAGATGGTGTTCTTTCTTTAAAAATAGTAGTGTAAAAATGCTCCGCTTTCTCCACAGTGTTCAAGCGATGTCTTTCTCCCTTGTATCTCAAAATTATACCAGTTGGGGCATCCCACCGAAATGGTATCTGTTGATTTTGTAGTTCTTTAACAAGAAAGCCAAAGTCCTTTCTGGTTTTCAACATTTTAGGTGGTAGCTCTTTATAGACTCCAATTTGTGAGCCCCCCACTTGCACAGAAGTATGAAAGGATTTTTGCAGGATGTCATTCCTTATTGCTCTATCTGTAAAATATATGACCACATCTCTAGGCAGTTGTCTTTGTCTGGCCACCCAAGAATTCACTCTGTAAATTTTATCTATTTTGTAAAAAACCACATCAGGATTAATTTTTAAAATCACAGCCAAAGCCTCAGAGCAGACCTGTCTCAAATCCTGTCTGTCATCTTCTCGAATTCCTTGAAGCCGTATAGCGAATTCCATTGCTTAATATCTTAATATATTTAAATTCTAAAGGCTCTGCCTCCTCCCTATTAAAGGAAGATTACATAGGGAAAAAATCATCTGTCTTCATTCCTGTTTTCTCCACAAATCTGAGATTGCTGTTCTGTTTCAAAATTAGCCCTTTAGAAATAAACTAGTCTTTCACTGAGCAGAAAATATATATTCTTTTTTTGTTTAAGAACAGAGCACAACCAGTAGATATGCCTTTGGATAGAAAGTATTGCAACCCAGTCACTTTACGCATTTTATTTGGCAGATAGTGAGAAAATATTGTCTGACTTTGGAACAGCCTTTGTAGCAGCTTGGAAGAATACTCATAATTATAGAGTGTGGAACAGTAATAAACACCCAGCCCTCACAGAAGTAAATCCTAGGTAAGTATATCCATTTATATGGCAATGAGAAAGTGATGGTGATAAACTTCTCATAATTTAGGAGTATATTTGCTTAACATCATTGGTGGTAAAACCTTCCTCTGTTTCTCCTGCTGAGAAAGGTTTTGCAAATATGACAAGTTATTCCTGATTTGTTGGGCTCAGGTAATAAGCCAGAAAGTATTCAACTTCCTTTATCCTTAACAATACCTAACCTGTTATTGAAGCAACAGAAGCAGCATGGCAAGAAAATAATTTAGTTCCTAAGGATAGGAAATACTTAGATTATTGGCTCCTAAGAAGAGGAGAGGCAAAATGTTTTAATGTATCCCTTTTCACACAAAGGTAATGGTTCATAGTTATAACTGAGAAAATATATGAAATGGTTTGTCAGCTTACCTTTTCTCTCTCTCTCTCTCACTCTCTCTCTTTCTTCTGCCCTAACTCACTTTTCAGTCATCCATTCCAAGGACAATATTCTGTTTCTGATGTAAAATTAAGATTATCACAGTAAGTATTGCTTATGTTTTTAAACTTGTTCACAGTTGAAATGTACATAGTCTATTGTTCAGTTATAGCAGTATTGATTTAAAAAATGGAATGGATTGATCAATGCCCAATATTTTATGAAAATTTCAGAATTTTTTGAAAGCTTATTCAGATACTTCTAAATAGGCATGTAGACCAAGTTTTTAAAATATTTAGAAATAAAAATAATGTTCAAATTCCTGGAAGCATTCTGAGATTGAAACAGCAGTAGATTGAGTTTCAAGCATTTCCAAAATACTGTAGAACAATTTTAGATTCAAAATATTTCAAATTCCAAACACCTTACCATTCTAGTGCTAATTAACTGCAACATAAATTGATATTTCAACTTAGTTATGTTTAATTGATATTCTTAAACATTCATCATCATCATTATTTTAGCCATTGTCTATCCACTACAGAATGAAGGCCTCTCCCGCATGTTTCCATCTAATATAGTCCTGAGCTTTCTTTTGCTAGTTGGGCCCATAATTAATGTTATTAAACATTACATACATGAAATTAGCAGAAACCAGTAAGACAATGCTATTGTATTTCTTAATTTAGTTCTGTTCAGAACAGTGAACGTGGTAAGAAGATTGGAAATGCCATGGTTACCAGTAGTCGAAATGTTGTGCAGACAGGAAGAGCTGTTGGTAAGTGACCCTCTAACTGGAATCAATGTGCTACAAATTCAGTGGCTGGACTATGCATCCCATTAGGCGATAATAAAATTTGTATGGTTAAAGGCTTAGCATTATATATAAACCCAGCCAACTGAATTTTATTCAGGCTTGCAAACGAGATTGGGGCAAACACTTCATTCCAAAATTGCAAAATATCCTTCCCTTGGCCAGCTTTAAAATAATGTTTTTTGCTGAACCATACGTTCAAATTTAACAAAAAATCTTTTTTAACAGAGGAAATTCATGAACCATTTATTATATCCCATATAACATCAACATCCAAACAAACATTCCATAGCAAATTAAAATATAAGAAAAAAGAATATATATATATCATGTTTCCCCGAAACTAAGACCTCTCCGGATAATAAGCCCAATTGGGCTTTTCAGCATATTGTTAAAATAAGCCTCCTCCCCCCCCACAAAAAATAAGCCTTCCACCAACTACTTATATGCATGCGCAGCCGGTCCCGCCATTTCCTCTAGTTACTTGCCATACAAACAACATGAGGTGAGGAGGCAAGGCCGGGGGGGGGGGAAAGGGGGGAGATGTTCTTTCCTGTTCTTCGCACCGGCCAAGTGGCTGGCCACCACTGCCCTGATGTGTCCTGCCGCCACTGCTGCCTCATGGAGCAGGATTCTGCAAGGCTTGTTGTGCCGTTGCACACACAAATGGCAGTGTTGTGGTCCACCAGCAGCCTCCAGAGCTGACAGTGGAGTCAGACAGTGAGGAGGCTGGGGAGGAACATGGGCCAGTCCTGGAGTCTGGGGAAGGCCCGGACGAGGTGTCTGCATCGGAGGCAGAGATGGGACCAGGGCCATCTGGGAGAGATGCACAGACTCCGGAGCCTCCAGAGTCGGACATCAGAGAGACAGAGGAACAGGAGAAGTCTGTTCCTAGAACGCGCATGTGCAGAGCTGCCAGAAGGCACGAACAGTTAAAACAAAAGGGACAACAAAACAAAAGAGCCTTGATGGTACTGTGGTCTAAGCATCCTGTTATTAACACAGCTGCCTGCAATTACTGCTGGTTCGAATCTCTTCAAGGCTCAAGGTTGACTCAGCCTTCCATCCTTTCTAAGGTAGGTGAAATGAGGACCCAGTTTGTGGGGGCAATAAGCTGACTTTGTATAAAATATACAAAAGTATGAAGGCTATTGCTTAACGCATTGTAATCCGCCCTGAGTCTCCGGAGAAGGGCGGCATATAAATCAAATTAAAAAAAAAAAAACTCGGGAGTAAGGCTTGGAGATGATTGGCTCCTCCCATAAGGCTTAAAAGAGGAGCAAAGGCACATGAGCACTTTGCAGGAAAGCAACGTTGTTAATTCTGTTCCCAGTCGGCATCTCTGTTTGATTCTGAAATCCATGTGGCTTTGCCAAGTAGGTCTTTGGCAGAATGTCAAGGGAGATAAAGGTTGGTGATTATCCCGAAGAACTTCTCCCGAAAGACTTTTTGTAATTAATTGGGACTCAGCTGTGAATGAATGTAATTCACAGTTGTTGCAATAGAAGAGGTCTTTGGGACTACTAGTGTGTTTTAATGACTCAGGCAGCCTAGGTCACAGCAGGCAGCACTACCGCGAGCTTCATCATACCAGCACAGCTGGCATCCTGCCGCTTGCTGCTGCGCTGGTATGTCAAACCTCGCGGCAGTGCTGCAACAGCACAAGCTTTGCAGAGTCCTGCTCCATGAGGCAGCGGCAGCAGCACAATGAGTCTCATAAAGACTCATTTCTGACAGGGAGGGCGGGGGAGAAGCGAGATGCGTGAAGTGAGACGTGGCTCCCCTTACCATCTCTTCTCCCCCTCCCCCTTCGTCGGGCATGGCAGGACTCCTGCCCCATGCTTAGCCACCCGCCCCCTTTAGAGATGCAATTTGGGGGTGGCAAATGGGGTGGGTATCTTACCTTTCAAACTCCATCGTGTTCCTTGCCGTTGTGTTCAGGGAAATGCGTTATAAAACAAAACTTTATTGAATTCGTGAGAAGGGGTTTTTTTTACAAGTGTTTCCTGTTGCAGCCCCGTTGCGAACCGGTAGTAAAGGTAAGTAGAACCCACCCCTGTTATACTCCCTATATGGAATTCAAATAAACTGCTGGCATTTTTCTTCTTCACATTGGTTAGACCAAGCCGAAGCCATGCTGGCCCAATGTTTCCTCTTCGCATTGGGTAGACCAGGCCGAAGCAGGCTGGCCCGTTGTTTCCTCTCCGCATTGGGTAGACTGGGCTGAAGCCACACGGGCCAGCCCCTTACATTTTCCTGGATGGCCCTGCGGGCCATCTCCGATCATATTGCAGGCCAGATCCAGCCCGTGGCCCTTGTGTTTGACATGCCTGGCTTAGAGAGAGCTGCATAGCACTATGGAATGATATATAAGTTTAAGTGCTATTGCTATGGAAATGGACAGACTTCCAAAATTATGCCTGATAGTACAGATTGAATTTCAGCTAGAGAACTCTTGAATTGTTACCTAGCTTGGATAATGAAACATCTGCAAGAAAACAACCAAGTTCAGAGAGCATCAAGGACCTCTCAACTGTTGAACTACAGAAGTCACAAACTATATCAGGAGTTGTGGTCTCTTGGTTTCTTCTCCACCTGACTCTGGAAAACAAGAGGACTGCTGCCCAAAGAATCTTGAATATATTGTAGAAGCTCAGAGACAGCGTTCAGCTCATTGAAGAGCCTCAGCTTCTATAAAATCATCTTCCAACCTGCAAAATATTTAAATATAAAAATGCCCAAGCATTTTAGGGGGATATTTCTCCAGCAAAATTTCAGCAGCTGGACATAATGATTAAATATTAAAGGATTTTTACCAAGTACCATATGACAAAGGAATTATGAAACAAAGGAGCGATTCTGGTCATAACCAGAATGTCAATTATTTGAATGCCAATCTATATATATAAAAGCAAAAACCACTCACGCATTAATCACAAAATCTCCAGAACCGTAAAGCCTACAAACTTGAAATTTGCCACATATGTTCCTCTTGGCTTCTAGGTGCTCACTAAGAAAGGATTTTTTGAAATGACCATCAGAGCAATAGTATTTCCTATATTATTATTAACACGCTCTGATGCTAAGGAGTTCTAGTCCCCCTCCCCACCTGAAAGAAATCTGTTCCAAATGCAAAACACAAGCAGAGGAGTTTTACTTTCACAGCAGGAAGCAACTTTAATACAGAAGACTTGTATACAGTCTTCTGTATACAGAAGCCACGCCCAGCCTCCTTCCTGTCTCCTTGCTCACACAGCAAATACTGTTTCACTTTCCAAATAGCCCTCTGATGCTAAGGAGTTCTATTCCCTCTCCCCACCTCAAAAGACAAGCAGAGGAGAGGACTTTCAGTTTCAGTTTTACTTTCACAGCAGCTTTACTATAGAACAGTTGAACTAAGCAACGCTCAATCTGCTTTCTGTCTCCTTCTTGCTCACACAGCAAATACTATTTGAGTTTCCAAACACCCCTCAACTCTCTCGCACACTGACAGGATACTAGCCAGATGAATATCGATGGATGCTGGTAGGCAGAGGCATGTTTTTCCCCCCTTATTTTCCTCCTCAGTTCAGATGAATCTGTTCCTTCTACTGTAACACCAATTAAAGGGAAAAGAGGCAAAAAGATTTACAGATGTGATTAGAAAAACACAAGTAAGGGAAGCTGTACACAAGTATCATCAAACTCAGCCCCAAGTCAGTAGACAGGCTGTAAGAAAGTATACATCTAATAACCCTATGTTAATCAGTCACAAATGAGATCAATGCCTTGGACTAGTAAGTATTTGTTTGGTTTTAAATATGAACCTCAGATTGATTACTCCAGGGACAAGGTTGTTGATCTCGGACCCCGGTTACCCTGTGCCTGGTGCCATGCTCTAAAGTGGCAGGATGAGAGTCCAGGGATGTGCTGCAGTGGCGGTCCACCTCCCTCCCCTTCAGCCCTACCCTGAATCCTTACACAGCCTTCTCACCCACCAGGGTCCAATGGCAAAGCACTTTCTTTCTGCTGTCCGGAAGTACAATGGATGCTTCCAAATGACGTCTTTTGGAGCCAGAGAGGTGAAGGAAGAAAATTTTATGCCAACATTCGAAGTGCAGGGGCAGGTCTACCACAGGATAGGGAGTATCATGGCGGAGCCTCAGCAGCAGCCTTCATTTCTCCAGATATACTTTATTGGTGATGATGACAATGAGAGGGACATCCGTTGTGAAATCTACCCAGGTGTTAATCTACAACTGGTTAGCCAACTGCAGAAGTTGCTCCGTGAACACAAGAAGTATATTCTGGAACTTAAGGCTGCTGTTGATTCTGTTCCTAAGGGCCACAAGGACTTCCAAGTGGTGATTAATACCGATAGGAAGTCTTCTGGAGAGCACCAAGGTCCCCATGACTACAGAAATGGCTGTTCTCATTGTCGGCCAGGATTTTGAGAAGAGAGATATCGTTCTCCACAGCAGAGACAACAGATTGTTACGAATCAGTGAGACGCACAATGCCTATGACACTCTCCAGTACTCTCTGATGTTCTGCCGTGGAGAAGATGGCTATTGCATCAATATACCTCAGTGCGATCCAAACACCAAGGTTCCTCTCAAGAAGACCATGTCGCCTGCTGCCTTTTACAGCTACAGGATAATAGAGCATGATGGCGAAGAGTGCTACCTACTGCTATTCCGCAACCTTCTCAATCAATTTCTGGTTGATATATATGCGAAAATTGAGAGTGAAAGACGCAATTGGATTCGTAGAAACCAAAAAAACAGAGAAGTGGGGAGTATGTACACCTGAAAGATGCCATGACAAGAACTGACAGCCACTTATCACAGCTTGGCAAGATGGTTGTGTTGCCATCTTCTTTCACTGGAGGACCCCGCTACATGCATGAGCGAATTCAAGATGCGATGACGTATGTGCACCATTCCAGATGATCAGATCTGTTCATTACATTTACCTGCAATCCGAAATGGTCAGAAATCGTACAGATCTTGAAACACGGACAAAAGTCTCACGATAAACATGACATAGTAGCAAGGGTTTTTCACGTAAAAGTAAAACATATCATAAAGCTCCTCACTAAAGGTTGCATCTTTGGAAATACAAGATCTCACATGTACTCCAAGGAGTACATTCATATTCTTCTGTGGCTAGAAGAGAGGAGAAGACCAGAGTCCATTGTCAAAGTTAATGAGATAAAGAGAATCCAAGACCTCGGTGCCTTCCGCCGTGCCCTTAAAACTTTCTTTTTTCATCAAGCCGGGCTGGCTTAACATATTTTTTAATTTTTAATTTTTAATTGGTTTGTCATTTTAAACTGGGGCCAAATTAATATATATTCTTTTAATTATTCTTAATCTTTGTATTGTATGTTTTTATCTGGCTGTACACCGCCCTGAGTCCCTTGGGAGAAGGTGCGGTATATAAATTTGAAATAAAATAAAAATAAAATAAATAAATAAAGTTATAAGTGCTGAGGTATCTGATCCCGACCTAGACCTAGCCCTCCATGACATTATCAAGACAATGATCCAAGGCCCATGTGGACCCGTCAACAGGAACTCACCCTGCATGGTGGATGGCACCTGCAGCAAGAAGTACCCCCCGCCCTTTTCGAAGGAAACTCAAACCAGAGAGGGCGGCTATCCTCAGTATCACAGGCGGTCCCCGGCAGACAGGGCATCACTGCCAACATCATTGGACTCAATTTTGACAATCTGCTGGGTGGTGCCATACAACATCTTCCTGTCTCGCACCTTCTAAGCTCATATAAATGTTGAGTACTGCAATTCAGTTAAATCCATAAAATACATCTGCAAGTATATTAACAAAGGGTCTGACCAGGCAGCGTTCACCATTAAACATGCGGATGAGGTACAAGGCAGGACACTGCTACACCAGCAGCTCTGAGGCAGCCTGGCGCATTCTCTGCTTCCCTATTCTTGAAAGGTTTCCTCCTGTTATGTACCTTGCTGTACATCTCAAAAACGGCCAGAGAGTTTATTTTACTGAGGAAAATGTTGTTGAGAGGATCAATAACCGTCCAAAAACAATACTTCTGGTCTTTTTTGACCTGTGCAAAGTCAATGCTTTTGCAAGGACCCTTTTCTATTACGAAGTTCCAACCAGTTACTGGTTGCCTTTCCAACTTACTATAAATGGAAAGGCAACCAGTTCTGCAGGAGGAAACAAGGGAAGCCTGTACCAGGTTATCCGGGGGTGGAGAAAGATCAGGTTTTGGGTAGAGTGTAGACCGTCCATCCCGGTAATGCTGAGTACTAGTACCTATGCCTCCTCTTGCATGAGATCCGTGGCCCAATGTCATTTACTGCCCTAAAAACTGTAGCAGCGGTACTTCAACCGACATTTCAAGCAGCGTGCAGTGCACTTGGCTTGCTGGAGGATGATGCTCACTGGGATCGCACTCTGGAAGAAGCCTCCATCTCTGATTTTCTTAACAACCTCAGCTGTTTGCCATCATGTTGGTTTTCTACCAAGTTGCAGACCCCCTAAAATTGTGGGAGAAATACAGAGACAGTCTTGCAGAAGATGTTAGAAGGGTAATGGAGAGAGAGTGTGGAGATGCCCAACTGATCCTCCAAATTGTTTACAACCAATGCCTTATCCTTCTTGAGGATATTGTCATATCCATATGGGGTAAAACACTCCTACAGTTCGGATTTCCACCACCATCACGAGAGCAAAGAGTCACTGTCAGCAACCATCAATACCTGCATGAATGGTATTATACCTGCGTGAATACCTGTGAACGGTATTATACCTGTGTGAATATCTGCATGAATACCTGCGTGAACGGTATTATATGCAGGTATAATATTATACCTGCATATATTACCATTCAGCTGACAGAAGCAGTTGCTGTGAATATTCCAACATTAAATCAAGAAAGAGGAAAGCCTATGATGAAATCATGTACAGTATTGCTTCTGATTCTGGGCAGTTGTTTTTTTTTTTTTTTTTTTGACGCTTCTGGTGGCACTTGCAAAACGTTCTTGATCAATCTCTTGCTGGCCAAAATTAGAAGCAGAAGGAATATCGCCCTAGCCGTTGCTTCCTGAAGAATTGCAGCTACCTTAATCGACGGAGGCAAGACGGCTCACTCTGCCTTCAAGTTACCTCTCAACCTGAATCATTCTGAGTCTGCACTTCGTGACATCTCTAAACAGAGTGACATGGCTCAGGTGCTTTGAGAAGCCAAACTTATTGTGTGGGATGAGTGCACCATGACTCACAAAGGGGGTCTTGAGGCTGTAAACGGGACACTCCAGGACATTAGGGGCAGCAACCGTCTTATGGGTGGAGTTATGATGCTTTTCGCTGGTGACTTCAGGCAGACTTTGCCTGTTGTGCCATGAGGGACACATGCAGATGAAGTCAAGGCCTGTCTCAAGTCATCCATTTTATGGCCTAAAGTCAAAGTCCTGACCTTGACAGTTAACATACGTGTTCACCTTCAATGTGATTTGAGGGCAGAAGAGTTTTCTAAATTATTACTTGATATTGGTGATGGGAAGCTTTTGGAAGAGGAGGGAAGAATAACTATTCCGAATAACCTTGTCAGCTTGACTGACAGAATATAGCCCAACATTCATCAGGCTGGAGTGGATTGCGGTTCATGGCTGAGGGAAAGAGCTATTCTCACTCCAACAAATGACTCAGCCAACAGCATCAACAACTTTCTGCTGGAAAAGTTGTCTACTGAGCATATGAAGTATGAATCTGTGGACTCAGTAATGGTGATCGGGGATGCTGTACATTACCCTGTGGAGTTCTTGCACACTCTCAATCCACCAGGATTACCACCTCATGTCCTCTACCTTAAGGTTGGCGGTCCAATCATGCTATTATGAAATTTAACCCCTCCGAAACTGTGCAATGGCACCAGGCTTCAGGTGAAGACTCTGTACAAAGATGTAATCAAAGCCACGATTTTCATAGGCGTCAATCAGGGAGAAATTCATACCCCGAATTCCTCTGATCCCATCAGACTACCACTTCGAGTTCAAACGTCTACAATTTCCCGTTAAGGTTTGCTATGCCATCACTTATCAATAAGGGACAGGGACAGACTTTGAAAGTGGCTGGTGTGTATCTGACTGTTTCTCCCATGGCCAGTTCTATGTGGCATGCTCCAAAGTCAGTTCACCTGACAGCCTGGTCATCCTCCAGCCAGACAGCAAAACCAGGAATGTTGTTTACAAAGAGGTCCTGAGCAATTCATCTGAGGGATGAATTGCAAGTCTATGCTATGCAATTTATTAGCTTGGCTACATAGACAAAACAGCCACAGTTGTTGCTGAGATTAAAGGGCTTAAACCCATCTATTTCATTGTTATTACACTTACAATAATGTCTTCATCTGTAACAGAAACTTACTTTACCTTCTCTAACAAAATAATAAAGTCACTTTTTTAACTACTCATTAATTTTCAAGCTTTAAGTGTCAATTTATCAAGCCCAATCACATAGTTACAAGCAACAAAGTTAGAGTCATGCATTCATGTGTGAGGAGATGATTGTTAGGAAAGATGAGAAGACTAATAGTAATAGTAATGCAGCCTTAGTGAATAGTTTGACAGTGTTAAGGGAATTATTTGTTTAGCAGAGTGATGGCGTTGGGGAAAAAATTGTTCTTGTGTCTAGTTGTTTTGGTGTGCAGTGCTCTATAACATCGTTTTGAGGGTAGGAGTTGAAACAATTTATGTCCAGAATGCGAGGAGTCTGTAAATATTATTGTATAATAAAGACAGAGTCTTTATTATACAATTGGCATTCAAATATATGAGTTATGACCAGAAGCTCTCCTTTGTTTCATAATTTCTTTGTCATACGGTACTTGGTAAAAATCCTTTAATATTTAATATCAATATCTCTGTCTTTATTATCCAATAATTATCCAAATCAATATCTTGGATAATATATTTTTAAAACAGCTTACTGGAATCCATATATTAAAACAATGTATTTCATGCATGGTAGGAACCCACATACTATATATAATACGGTCCTTTATTCAACCACAACAGTAGAATTGAGAACTGCATATTAGATGTGATTGTGGTAAATTGTAAAGATGATGCAAAAATATGATTTATATTTCCTTTTAATTATTCCTTTTATTTATTTATTCATTCATTCATGGCCTAAATTTATATAGGTACTCAACTTAAAAGATGTAATGCTGAATGGCATACACAGTACATACAAAAACAATAAAACAAAATAAACACACAACAATCATTTAAAAGTATTGAAACAATAAATACTTTTTTAAAAAAAAATCCATAACCTGTGTGGAAGAGTGAACTTAGTTTCCTAACAATACTGCCACTTGGTAGGCTCCATACCCATATCACTGGCTTCCCAGATCAAATGGCAAAACCATGTTTTCAACCTTTTTGAAGGCCATCAAAATTAGGACTAGTATGATCTCCAGGGGATTAATGTTATAGAGCAGGGGTTCCCAAATCTCTGGGCTACTTCCATGCCTTGAGCCATTTGGAACCGGGCTACAGAAGTGATGAGCTTGCCTGCTGTTCGTGCAAATGCAAATACAAAGCTGGAAAGGACTGAAAACTCTGTTATGGACGGTGGGTATTATGGTAGAAAAAGTTGTCTTCCTGGCTCCCCATGTGATAATGTTTCTTTATGGACTGGACCTGTGACATATCTTTCCTGCCAGACTTGATAGCATAGGTTGATGTGTTTGGGGAGAAGCAGTCCCTCAAATAATCCAGCTCCATGCCATGCTTATCTTTTATTTTGTTACCTGTGGTCTTATTGTTCTATATTTTGTATTCTGATATGGCCTAATGGTTACCATAATGAATAAAATACTATCATTCAAGCAAAAGAGCTTCTGACATATATTCTTAATCTATTCTTTTTAATTTTTTTCTCCCCTCCTTCCTCTTATTTTGTTTGATAATACAGGTCAGTCAGTTGGAGGAGCTCTCACCAGTGCAAAATCAGCAATGTCTTCATGGCTTTCTACTTTCACCCAGTCCTCTCAAAGCCTTGGGGAATAATTTTTCTGGGCCAAGTTCTTACATTTCTTTTAAGAAACCAAAAGGCTTCGCTATAAAAGCATAGGCACTTGAATTCAAGCTGCATGAAGATGAGCTGCATCACAGGATATAATTTGGCAACTGCTTTTATACTTCTTTGCTTTATATTTGAACCTTGTTCCAGATTTATTTTTGTATTTTGGAGGATGGTGATCTATGTCAATTTAGCTGTATTTTAAGTTAAATTGTTTAGCATTGTTTTTAAGAGTTGAATTATATTTCAGTATGGAACATGATAGTATATATGGAGGTAATATTTCAACATTTAATACATAAAAATATATTAACATTTGTATTTGTAATATCTGTTCGCTTCTGCAAGTCCAATGTGCAGAATTGTTTGTTTCAATAGAATATATTTCCACAAATGTGTTACAAGTGGAAGTAATTGTAGGTGGGCTAACATGAAATTAATGAGATTTAAATTAGCAGACTTTAAATAGTCTTTAAAAAGGCTAAGATAGTTTTTTAAAATTTTACACCATCTCATCATTTAGGTGACAACTATTGCATATTAGTAAACTTTTCATTCCAAATAATTCTAATATTGTTTTTTATGTTACTGGGAATGTAATGCAATTTCATGTTATATTTAAGTGTCTTGATCTAAATACTAACAAATTACCTACCTCTCCTCAATTAGGCTTTTTTTTTTCCATAGCTGCTATAATCTAGTCAGCATGTGTTAACTAGTAATTTTTGCCCCATCTATATATACATACATACATGTTTTAACCTCATTCAATCATTTTGAAAGAAAAAAGTGATCTCATTGCCTATGAAAACATAATATGGCCCAGTTTAAAACAATGACTTAACAAGATATTTATTTTAGAACCATTTTCATTTTGAAATAATCCCATGGCCACAATTGCTGATTTTCCTTTCAGAGTTGATGTAATGGTAGGAAGAATACATAGATTGTTAACACAAATTATGACAGCTATAGCTAGATTATTAGGTTTTTAGACAACTGAATATTAAAATTAGTAGTTCATTATTTCTTTCTTGGCTGCATTTGGTTTTGTTTACTATAATCAGAGATTCTTGTATTCTGAATCTAAGGGGAAAATATGATTGTATCTTACTAAATAAATTTATTTCAAAAATATTTCTAGTTACAATTAATTTCCCTATAAAGTAGGGATGAGAATGCCTGTTATCAAATTCATACTAGCAACATTCCTGTCTATTCACTGTACTATGTCAGTTCTGAAATTAGATTTTTAATTTATGCAATTGCTTTAATGATTGGCTACATTATTGGGGTGAATGGAAATTCTGATTAATGAAAGCTTGTACTGTAATATTTTTCTTATAATATATATTAGTTTATAGCTACAGTAAATATCCACTGTGTTCCAAATCAATTTTATGAAAATTAGTAACCAATTTTGGCACCCCAAGTGTCCATGTTCTACCTTTATAAAGATTAAATAGAATATTTTATAGGTACATTGCTGCATAATGTGGTAAATATTTAGAAAGGACAGCTAGTTCTGTTGGAAAGAAGCTAATTGCTGTTTCCAAACATTTTGATAACTGAAATGTAATCAATATTGTGATTTGTCAAACAGTGTTCTTTTAATAGTGCATTACTAGTTCTTAAAGTACGATGCAGTTCTGAACGGGTAACTGTTAACAGGGTTCACAAAGAAGCATTTTATCACAAGAACTTGCTGTAAAGCTATCAACTCTGAATTGAATTTATAGATAGCTGGACATACTGTGCTATTGACTAGAGTTTAAGCACAATGAAATTAATTAATGAATGAATAATTTTAATTAACTAATAATTAAATAACTAAGTTAATTAATAATTAACTAATGAATAATTAATTTTGAACAGAAAAGTGGAATAGAAATCAAATACACTGTAAAGTAGTTGCTTTTGAATTTTAAATTCTACCATGATATAGCTTTAGTTTTTATTTCCTTGTTGGAAGTTGTTCAATTATACACAATTTTTACATTGAAAGATTATATTCTTTTGAAGCAAAATGTAGTAAGTGTTAAAATTGACAAACCCATGCAAGAATTTATAATATATGCATTCTAAAAGTTACTTCACATACTGAGAATTTAAGAAGAAATATTTAACCATATCAGTAAAGCTAAGTCATCATGTATCTATTTCTGATCCTTTGTGTATAAATCAGTTTATAATGAGGTGTTTTAGGTTCTGTAGAAGTAACCTCTGAACAAGTTGAGATAGGAACACCAAGTTGCATCACTTTGTGGAAAGGTTCAAGATCTTTCCAACATATCTTTTTAATGATGGCACTGATATTTCAAGCCATGTTGCTTCAGTGATATATAAAAAATGCAATTCAAATTTAATATGAACAATGTATTCCAGCCAATAACAACTTCCGTTCTGGAATTTGAGCATTGGGTACAATTCTTTAAATTCCATCAGTAGGAAGTGAAAATTAAAAACTAGGTTTTACTTAAGAAAATACTTGGGCTTTATTTTAGTGCATTTCTCACACAGGGTCAATTTATCTATCTAGTATTCTGGTGGTATTGCCATTCATTGATAAAGACCAAAAATAAAGTTTATTATTCCAATTCAATTTTTAATTCCTTATTTTGATGTTTTTACTATTATGCAGATAGATCTTACAACCAAAACCTAATTTTGCTTTGTGTGTTATGAAATGGTTTATACCACCACATGGATCTTATTTTGTTGTGACACGGAATGTGTCTGGGACTCAAATATGATACTTACATGAGTAAAATGAGACACTCATGCTTTATTCTACAGATAGGAAAAAATATGAAAATAAAAGTTGCATGTAAAAGGAGTAACTTTGTGCAATCTTTATGCCATGAAATCTTCAGTTTATGAATGCATTATATGCATCTTTCTGTGTGAGTAAATGATCAAGAACAGATAATAGAAGTATTTAATGGATATTATGAACATCATGTTGATGCTACATCTGCACGAATAGGTTAGGATCAGACTTATGGTCTCTTGCTATTTTGAAGTATTTTTTTTTAGGCACTGGGACTTTATTGTAAAATTATAGATTTGCATCATACACAACAGATAACTGATTTTAATTTTTAAAACTTTTCAAGCATTTAGAAATATGTATCACATTACAAAATGAAATAAATACTTAAACCTCTCCTCTAATTTATAAGTCATTAGAATCACAAAATTAACTTCTGGACATACAAACATAATTGTCCAATCATGAGTTAACTGAAGTGAAATATAATAGTAAAAATTAGTTTAAAGCAACCCGTTATCAGTTCTAAAAGAATAAGTGTATATTGGATGAACAAAGAATATGCTTGTGTTCAAGAAAGACTATTAATGTATATGCTTATTTTAGACCAACAAAATAAAATATTTTTTAAGCTATCTGAAGACATGTTATTTGGGTAATATACTGTAACAAAATATGGCACATAGATTTCAGTACAAGCCTAGTTATTTTTGATATGTAGAAATATTAGGAGCAGATTTCACATGAGGAATTATTAATAGCGCTAAAAGCTTCTGAACTGATAAAGTTTTAGATTTGTTATAAAGGTAATAAAAAATAGAAAAAAGTGAACAGCTAAAAATGCTTTATACTTTACCATCTCTAATGCTCTTCTGTAGATAGATTTTAATATCTCCCCCCCCCCCCAAAAAAAATTATTGAACATGATGGAAAATGCTAATGGAAAATGCTTATTTTGCCTTTGGAATGAGGATTTAAAAACACCAAGTCCACAAAACATTTTAAGTCTTGTCTTAACCTCTAGACAATTTAGAAGATATGTTTTATGTCTTATCTTGCTATTACCTTGGTAGCTCACTCGATTATAGCTTGAATTACCATTTAAGTGTTAATCATGGTTTCAAAGTTTTCTTATACATACTTGTTACAGAGCAGTTCTAGGTGCTTTTTTATCCCATTTTGCAGTACAGATGCACCAGAATCTTAGATAATTTCCATAAAAATAATCTTAATTGTATATACACTTTACAAATTTATGTACAAGAAGCCAAATGTTAACTTCTAAAGCCCAGATAAAACACAAAGGACTAAGGACTGCAAAGTAGATGGACCTAATCACACAGGCAGAACTGCTTTGGAAAGTATTTTTTTTTTTAATGGATGTACAGTACCTGTTTTGAGTTTACATACTGTAGCTTTGTCATTTTGTTCAAAATGGTGAGACACTCGAGTTACATTACCATAATCAGATGCTCTCAGGTTTGCAAAAGGATAATATACTTGCATACAACCAGATCCTTGCCTGATAATTTTTCAAACTTTTTTGAGCAGAGGAATCTGGTGGTGTGTTTTTTTCTTTTTAAAGCTATAATCCCTGATCAAGAGCCAAAGCTCTAATGAAAGAAAATCGGCAGCATCCTCGTTACAGTAGTCTCTTACAAAATCCTATGAAGTTGTCATAGAGCCCTGTGGTTCTTCGTAAAACTTTCTGAAAGCCTTGCTCAAATATGTTTGCTGACCTATCTTGTTCAAGAATCTTTTCTGATTTTTAATGGGGAAAAAGTGATAATTTTAACAGCAAAAATGAAGTGTGGCTTAATAAACTATTTTTAAAAGAAATAATTTTTACAAAGTTTCATTATGAAAATTGACAAAACTATTACACAAGCTGAGAAGTTTTCCTTAGAATATTAGATGTTACATGTCTTTTAAATTTAAGATTTCAATTTTTTTATATATACAATGCCCTCTCATGAATTTGAGTACAGATTAGCATCTCAATGTCTCCCTTCCCACAGACAATTTTATATTAAAATTTTTACAGGGACAAAAGGAACCCAGATTAAAAAACAAAAAGATCAGCATTTAATACTTTAAATCAAATGCTTCTTAAAGGGAACTAATCCAAAACCAGCATGCTCAAGTTTAAGATACCTACTTTATACATAAGTTTCTGTGGCCATATATTGTAACTTCTGCCAGTCCTCTTTTTAATCTAAATCTCTTTAGTTGGGTTTGTTTGTTTTTATTTTTCAAGCAGCAAGTTTTAGTTTTGATTGGTTTATCACAAACTGACATCTATTCAATGGTCATGAAAAAGTATGCTAATTAGTGGTATATTTAATCACAAGACTCTGAAGGTTTTGCTACAGCATTCTATCCTAACCAAAATGGAAAATTTCAAAAATAGAAAGTTTTTAATAAGCTCTGAATGCTTCTTATTCCATTTTTGAAATTGGCTGATACAAATTATATAATTTTTATGATTTGGGCCGAATGTCAGTTTTCTAGTTTGCAGAGACTATTTTACCACTAAATCTATTCTAGATCTATTCTAAAGATTAAAAAAAAATAGTTATTGGCTAGAAAAAAAGCAAAAAGCAGGTGTAAGAAATCCCAGGGGACAAAAAGAAATGGCTGGAGGCAAACAGATTCAGTTTACTGCTTGACTGTATTTACATTAGTGTGATTTTATGGAATAAGAAGAGACTCAATACTATCTATGAAGGCGGCCTATGTGTTAAAAGCCTGCATGGTCTTTAACATATAGGGCTTTTACCACACTTTATTTTTCTTGTCTTCAAACATTTGTTTACTCCAAACAGAAAGAAATAATAGAAGTCACTTGCTCATATCTTTTTCAGATTTTTCTGAACAGCTAAATCTACTACTGTAAGTTTTAATATTTTAAACAGCAATTTTAAAAACTGTTGTTTTAATCATACTTTAATAACTCCAGATAAATACACAGACGTGTGAGGGGAAAAAAGAACTGATTCTTTTTAATAAATTAATATCATTCAAAATACAGTGCCAGAACATGATGCAGCTAAACATGTTAGTATGATCCATCATGAAGTATCTGGTCTCATGTGAGATTGGTGGTGCCTTACTTCTGCTAGTGGTTCCTGGGATTAATGCCAGAACAGCATCAAACAACCACTCCACTGCACAACGTATTCCTGAACAAAATTTCTCTCCCCCAATCCCACAGGAAAAAATAAGAGACAAACAATGTAAGGATATTTTTACAAAGACATACTACAGTAATATAAATTAACAAAAATAAAGACGTGGTTAATTCACACTATACTTTTGTTTATACTGGGATAGGGGAAAATAAGCAGGAACTAATATTCATGAGCCAATAATTCTGAAATACAGAACAAGGAGCTATTTACTGATCAAAAGCTCCAGAGACCCGCACTACAAAGAGCTAGCAATTCTTACTGCAAGCCCAGCAATGTCAGTTCACACCTGGTAAACTACCAGCTGCTCGGAAGACCTCTATTCTAAACAAACAGGTATAAGTTAGTGAAAATACATGCACCTAGTCATCAACATCAGCATCATCTTAGCTCGACTGAACCTGCAGTCATTTTGCCCTGCATATCACCATAAAATGGAAGATCTACCCTTCCTACCACAGGTAGATCCATGGGATTTTATTCTTTTACATGGTGTTATTACACCAATGCAGCTGTGTGTATAGAGTGCAGCACGTTTCATTCAGCTACACAATCTATATAACTAGCACATACAGATATTTCCAGAACTCATTTAAATATAACAAAGGTATTTTGAGCAATTAATATACCATTCTAGAAATAGAAGCTGCTTTGTGAAAAGTTCCAGAACTCACTGTTTCACGACTAAACATTTAGACAATAAGCAGATAATTTAAGCTTGAAATATATAATACATATAATCATGATACATATATAATCATACACAAACGTGTGTGTGTGGTGTGTGTGAGAGAGAGATTCCATCAACTATCAAAGGGACTGAGATTATGGAAGCATATCTAGTAAGAATTTTTACTGATTTAAACTCAATGGCCACAAAACAAATTAGGGCATACATACAAGACAACATTTCATTTTGCAGCTCTAGTCTCTCAAATACAATGTTCATTAGTTACAGGCATGCAGTTTCTGAATAAGGGAGTTTATACAGGTGGCAATGGAACATCCTCCTCAATTTCAAACTCATCATCTGTATAAGGAAAAACTAGGTATGATGGAGGTTTCCATGTGGACTCTTCAAGACAAGATGGATATAGTTTTCCCACAGTGCATCGGAAATCTTTTCCCAAATCCCAGAGTACCCGCTCAGATATATCCTGTCGCAAGAACCAACGATCAAGTTCCATGTCATATTGGTATGTAGAATACTTGGCTCTTTCATGCATATGTGTTTCTCGTACAAAGATACACAATGAGTTAGAAATCACAACAGCTCTGACACAGGGATCAGAATACCGCTTGGCAGGAATTTTGGCTGTCATTTGCCATTCATTTTTATTCACATCATAAACTTCCACTGCTAGGGAAGGTCCAGTTACAGTCCGAGGACGTAATCCTATACCAAGATTGCCACCAACATGCAAGCCTCCAATATAAAATATTTTATCCCCAAAAGCAGCAGCTGAAGCAAAGCATCTATTAGTTTGTCTTGTAGCCATTTCAACCCAAGCATCCGATCTGGGGAAGTAACAATACATCAAGTTGTGTGCCATTACATAAATGCAATTATGAACAGCAACGGCTGTACTCCACTGCCAAGCACAGGGCAGAGGGCTTACCATGGTCCATTCATCTTTCTCAGTATCATATCTTTCCACAGTTCTTCTGTCAAGTTCTCCACCAACACTGTCTCCACCAATTGCATAGATAAGGCCTTCACAGAAAACAAGAGACGGCTTTATACGAACGAATAGCATTGGACTCTTTGGAAACCATGTATTTTGCTGGGCATCAAACCAGTAGAAACAATTCACAGTACGGAAGGCAAATTGAAATTTGCTAGTTTTACCGTAGTTGATTTTTGTACTTTTCAGTGGGATTTGCCCACCTGCTATATAAATATCATTATCAGGAGTTACAAGTGTCCCAACTTTATGGAGATCAGCAGGAGGACTGCAGAGCTTGTAAACTTTTTCAGCCTGTGGGCTGTAACATACTGAAGAGTAAAGATTACCAGGACTTTCAGCAGCAGCTTCAATGAAGATCATCATCTCTTCTTTAGTCATTCCAAGTCTTGGTTTAAAAAACTTCGGCATAGATTTATACAATCCTTGAACCACTACTGATTTATCATTTGGTGGTAAGCCTTGAAACCAAGCTCGTTGTGTAACTTCAGAAAGTGCATCAATTCTTATTTGGCTAAGAACTGATGACAAATACTGTGATCGGGATTCTGTATTATACTCCAGCCACAACATAGCAGCTTCACGAACTGTCTCTTCTTTTTCCACATTTAAATTGTCACTGCTCAAAATATCTATCAACAGATCATGTGAGAGCTGCATGAAAGCCTCTTGGTGGTATACAACCGTAAACTTGTGTTCTACCATTCTTTTAGCACTCTGTTTTAACTCCTCACAGCTAAAAAGATCAGCAAAACTCAAAAG